TTTTTTTTTTTTTTTTTTTTTTTTTTTTTTTTTTTTTTTTTAGTTCTGCAAGTGCAGACTGTGGTAAAACTGTTGTTGCACTTCTAGGTTTAAACAAAAATTAAACCTTTAACTGAGGCAGTGCTAATACTGTGACATAACCAAGTTCTGGCCTAACACAGAATCATTATAGAAAATGAATTTTTTTTTCCTTTTTTTTTTAATCATCTGCACATGTTTCAGGCAACACCTGGTACACAGAAAATGACTAAAGTTATTGGCCAGGCCAAAATAAAACTGCAGAAACAAAAAACCCTAAGAATTCCACCCCGAGTCCCTTCCCACCCTCCCTGTCCCCCAAGAAGAAGTTATCCTAGTCACTGTGTCTTTCACATTTTATAAATATTAACTTCTTAAAACCTGCACCTTCCTCTTTGTCCACATTGTCACATTACAAAAAAGAAATGTCAATTAAATACATTGTTAACATTACTAGACTAGATCTGCCCTCTGTTTCAGCCAGTCTGACTCTCTACACCACTTGTCACCTTCTCTTGCCTGCCTCCTGTCCACTCAACAAACAGCATGTTCATGGTAAGCCTGGTTTGTTTTTCTTCCTTTTTCCCCCCTTCTCTGTTTTAACACTAACAATCCGAGTCCTTCAAAGCCTAGGAATCCTGGAGCTGAAGGGAAAGAAGACCTGTAGCTTTCTAGTGTGATCCCGAATCTCAAAGACATTGTAGCACCTGATGGCAATATCTTTACAGCACCAGCTGCGTCGCAGCCTCAGTTGAAAAACATAAAGAAACCTAACACCAGTGATGCCTGCACACACATTTACACAGAGTGCTGCATTAGTGCAGGTCTGTACTCCAGTTGAAAATAATTCCAAGTTATGAAGATCTCAGGCTCTGGATGTCACCAATTCCTCTCCAAATCCCACCACTTCTACCAGCTCAGAAGAGAAGTCCTGCCAAGGGTCATGAAATAGACTTGACTACTTCCACCTGACCGTACGGAGGCAAAGAAAACCTGTAAAGAAAAGAGATTGGCAAATTCAACAAGTAGGACAGCAGTGGCTCTAATTTGCCTTCACTATCCCCAATACTGGCAGTGCAATTGCTGTGTCTGGTGGGGATGGAGTTGACACTCTTCACAGCAGCCTGTATGGTGCTGGGCTTTGCATCTGTGGTTAAACAGTGTTGCTAACACACTGGTGTTTTGGCTACTGCTGAACAACACTTGCACAGCATCAAAGCTTTCTCTCCAGCCCACTCACCCCTAAAAGACCCGTGGGCTGGGATGGGCAAGGGACTGGGAGGGCACAGTGACCCAAACTGACCAAAGGGACGTCCCATAACATGCAGCGTCACGCGCACCAATAACAGCCCAGGGAAAGGGAGAGGACAGGAGGGATGCTGTGGTGACGACATTTGCCTTCCCAAACAAGCATTACATGTGGAAAGCATCTGGATGTCCACCTGCCAATGGGAGGTTGTGTATTAACTCCATATTTTGTCTGGCTTGCAAGCACAGTCTTTGCTGTCTTACTAAGTTGACTATATGTCAATCTATGAGCCTTCTTTCCATTTCTTTCTTCCAATCTACCATTCTACCATTTTCTTTCCATTCCATGGGAGAGGGGAGAGGGCTTGAGGCTGGGTGGGTGTTTGGCTGCTGGTCAAGGTCAACCCAACCCAAGTACCCAATCAAAGTACACGCTTATCATCTTGGCAACAAACTTGGGGAGGGGGGGTGGAACATACCTTGTCATTGCGTTCACACAAGAATTTGAGTCTTTGTGCCCTTTTGTGCATGAACACACCATCCAAGTGTCCAGTTTCCACGGATCGTATTTCTATAGCTTTTTCTCCCCAGCCCATGATCTGGTTAGACCGGATGTATGCTTTGGAAAGAAAACAGCACTTTAGGACAAGTAGAAAGCAACATGGAGGAACAGAAAAAGCAAGGAACATATTGATGTGTTCTAGTAAAATTACCTGCATGTGTGTATTATAGCTACACACAGAGTATTCAGAGTACTATTTCTGTCCTCAGAACATTCATGACACCTAAAAATGCCTTTTTTTTAAATTTCCTTTGTGTGTTTTCTGTGTTAGTTATGTACTTCTTCCCTGAGCATTCATGACACAAAGGGAACTTCATAACCTTTAATTAGATGGAGGGAACATTTAGTTTTTACACAGGCTTCTTCTCACAAGTTTGGCAAAGAGACAGGTTAATTAGGTGTTGACCAGGAGAAAGCAGAAGCCAAGGTTTAAACAGACTAGTCCAGTAGGCCTGCAGCATCAGCTCTCTGTCTTACAGTGTTATTTTCCCTCCCTGAAGGAGTTAGTCAGCAAAAACACAGAGAGTGAGAGGGAGTAATACTTCAAAAACTGATCTCCTTGAGAAAGCCAACTGGTCTGAAAAGCATTCTGTATACCTCAAAAAAAGGTTCACATTAAGCTTTTAAAGTAGGAGTATTATTATTTGACATACTGCTTTCCTTTGTGTAAAAATAAAGCAACAAATCAAACATTTTTCCATATGAATAGCACAGGGGAACACAAATCAGTAATAGCATGAGGAAAAAAATCTGCTTTTGATAGCAGGAAGAAAATTAAATAAAAAGAAAAGTCACCAGCATTATGAAAAAGTATATTCAAAAAGCAATTCAACGGATAGTCTTAAGGAATGCTGTCAAAAATAACATACGGGAACTTAATGAAGACTAAGCTGTTGCCCCTGATTCGCATGCACACTTAACAGAAAAATAAAAATAATTTCTTAGCCATCAAAATTTAAAAATATTTAATTTTTCAGTACTTCCCTTTGACATCATTTTTTTTCATATTAACTTTCAGTGACATTAAGTCAAATTATCTACTACAGTATAATGTACAGCAATAATATTGCACATGCCATCATGATGAAAAACTATCTATTTTTAAATATGCCACTAGTGCTAACTGGGCCAAATAATTTCCAAAATTGTCAGATGAGATGTTCAGATGCTGTTGGCCACCTCAATGTCATTTACTTCACAAGTATTCCAGTCTCCAAAGGCTCTGGAATTTGCCATCTGATAAATTCTGCTTGCTTTTAGATCTAGTCAAGAGTTAATCACAAGATTGAACATGCTGTGCATGAGACTTCTTTAAATTTCCTCCTCCACTGTTGTTCCTGTTGCTCAAACAGCTATCAGCAGTCATCTCCCAATATATGCATCCATTCCATAGCACGTAAAACACAATGTGCTTGCCCAACAAAAGGAAGGTGTGATCACAGCCCATGGTACACTCTGCACTGAAATACGGCAGCACAAGCAGTAAGAGAGATCCTGGTGTGTCCTTGTGTCCATAAAAAATATGCACCCATTTTACTGCACTCATTGCTCCCCCTCTCAAAACGACCTTACTTTGAACTGGAGAGATGAGGGAGAATTGTGCTAGGATAGATGAGCAATCTACAGGTGAATAAGCAGACCACCAAATGAGATACACATTTTGTTATCTATATAGAATTACCCATAACATTTTAGTCATCTGCCACCTTACAGTTTTTATACTGAAAGGTTTCCACAACTTTGTGGCTGTCTAGAAAAAATTCTGCAGCAGCCTACAGAGGTCATGGTGAGTTTTTCAATCATGAACTCCACAACTTTTGGAGTTTGTTCATAAAAACTTCAGCATAAAACAGATCCATATGATTACTCTTCGCTTTGTGCAGCTGTTTTCCAGAAATAATATAGCAATGACTTCAGATGCAGAAGCAGCAAACTCGATGCTCCTTCCTCCTGCCCACGTGAACACACTCACGGTCCCTAACAGCACATTGTATATGGCTTGCCAGAGGCACTTACCAACTGAAGTTGGCATTTCTCCCCACTGCAGAACAACATCCTTGGTTATCCTTCCATATGTGTTGACATAAACTCCTTCATCCTCGTAGCAGACCAATAGCTCCATCCCATCCGTGTTTGGGAGAATGATGATTGCATGAGGTTGGATACTACTCTGGATCTACAGAGACAGAAGTGAAGAGGAATATTTTGTTTTAATGTTGCAGAGCTAGAAGAAAGGGCTGAGTGATTTTTATTTTTGGCTCGCACATTAGGGATTCATAGAATGGCTTGGGCTGGAAGGGACTTTAAAGATCATCTAATTCCAAATTCACTCATTTTAGAAGTACTAGATCTGCTCCCCTCAAGCTACACACCCTACACAGTGACCAAGACCTGTAAAAACCGTTGGAGCACAAATCCTCTCATCTTAAAGCAGACATCTCAAACCAGGGAAAATTAATTTCTCTGTAGGTGTGCCTTTTTCTTTCAATGGGCAGAAAGGGAGTCTGGGGCAAGCAGCCCCGATGCAGACCTCAGACCTCTGCACTGCATTGAACAGTGCTTGGGGTGGCCCATCTGACACCTCTGCGTACAATGAACAACAGGAAACTGAGGCAGCTAAGGCCACCTGGCCTTTGCCAACCCCGTTGAAACTCATCAGTGGGCTGTTGTGTCATTTTTGCTGCTGGGCATTTGCAATGAGCTTGGCCATTTAGCTGCTAGCCCTGAAACTGTCATGTTGGCCCACATCGGATCTGAGTGGGCAACTCCCAACCATAGAGACATTCTGGCCATGAGGAAAGGACTGACATTGAGGCACAAACCCCTAAGCACGCATGGCTGCATCTGCTTAAGACTTGTCCACCCAATTCACCACTGCAAGCATTTGGCAGTGATCCACAGGGACTGCCTGACATATTGGGCATTTGAGGAAAGGAAGGGGTGGGGGGCAAGGGGATGATATACCAGAAAGAAAAAACCCAACCCCAGCAGCAGCTCTTACATGTGTTGGTAGATAAATATCATAGACTGATCCTGAATCCACATCAACGGCATGGAAACCAGCGCAGGAGCCATAGATCACTTTTAGTCTCTGACCCTCTTCTACGGTTAGATCCACCAGCAATGGCTTATGTACCAGTTCTCCAAATGACTGTGAGACAAGCATCAGAGATTTACTTAACTTCTTAGAACAACAATAGGCTTTATAAAAACATGCTCGAATGCACACGTTATGGGTTTATTCCTCCACATGCCTCTGGTCCCCAGCCACCAGACCAGTTAGGCTAACATATCTCTCGTGGACAAGGACAGATTACTCTGCAAACTCCTACATTTCAATCACCTAAACTATTTTATGTGGGGTTTACTTGGTCTGTTTGCTTTTTTAATAAAAATTGTTTTCTCCAAAGTTCAGGGCAATTTGACACTCCTGTAGTACTTCAATCTGCACAACGAACAGTAACTGTAAATCAGTCTGGCAATTACATCAAGTCATCTAACTTCTTTCTTGCAGCATTCAAAAAAAATCCTGTAACAATGCTGAGTATCACTTCATAACTTGTTCTGCTCAGACAAAGAACTTTAGACTCAATACACTTCTCTCTGCCTTGTGTTTTATTTACAGAGAGATCAAACAAAAAGTTGTGATATTGTGTCATTACTACTTTTTGCTTGGTCACAATTCAAACCTTTAAGTACTGTCTCTTAGAACTAAAATAACTCCTAAATTAATATAATACCAAGTTTGTGGAGATTTACTGAAGAACTTGTAATATGGCCATAATAAAATGTCAGAACATTTTCATAATAGGGACAGTTGCAAGCGGCTATGAGAAAATCCTACGTATGGCTGAAATATACTGTTACCTTAAAGGCCATAAATTTATGGTATGGCTTTGGTGCCCATGCATAGACTTCCACAGAACTCTTCAATGCAATTACCAAGAACTTGATTCTTTCATATTTTACTGAAATTAAAGAAAACAAAAAAGAATTCAGCAGTAATTCTAAAGTCATTCCAATTACTTCAAGAAAGCAGAAAATTTATGTAAGTATGAAGAAATACTGTCATTTTGAGGATTTAGTAACACTGCATTTTAGGACTGCTAATTCTATGTAGTTAAGAATGTTGATACATTTATGCCACAAAAGTCATTATTAGTAACTGACCATGTCACCATATTTAGAATTACCTAGTCAGTACACACTTATTTACACTTATTGTTTTCCACATTGGACAGTGCTAATTCATCAAGACAAGAAAACGAGTTTTCAGACAGGGACATTCCAATAAAAGAAGGCTGTGACTGTGGAAGAGTGTATTGGCATTTCCAGTCACAGCACTGATACTGTTACTTTGAGCTGATGGCAAAATTCCCCAGAGATAGGAGGAAAAAAAGAAATTAAAAAAAATAATATTAAGAAACAACCCAATTTCAACAGCAAAAGGCAAGTTTGATAATGGAGAATTTTCCTTTGTCCCTAAAGTCTGAGATAACTCATTTGAGAAAAAGAAAAAAAATCCACTTCATTTATCAGAAATAAAGTGTAATTACATAGTGACAGATGCTCAAATACATCTCTGTTGCCTCATTCAAACTGCTGGCTAAATTAACCATCAGAAAAGGTCTGTTCTGGACATTCCAGAAGTGTTGCTGGATCTGTATTTCCAGCTACCATCTGGATTTGGGAAGGAACAAATCATGCAGACTTACAGATATTTAAGTTTGTTTACATGTTTCCAGCATTCTTTCCCATTTCCATAGGGAAAGAAAAAAATTAGCATTATTTAGATGATAGTGCAACCTTTTTAGCCCAAGTTTTAGAGGAATATAACACTTCTTCAAAACAATGTATAATTCCATGCACCTTCACCTTCTGCCATTATATCTCCCAAACAAAACTAATTTTGAAACACATTAGGAGTGAAAACCTCAAAATTTGTGAGAACACTTCTTTAATGAATGCTATTTTAATGTCCTTTAGACATCCTACTTCTGTACAAGCCTGCAGTTATTTTCTCTTGGTAAGCAACAGGTAGACCAAGCTAATACTTGCTTTTTTTACTGTGCAGGAAGGCAAGACTACTGAATTAGAAGTGTTAAAGGACTTGACACTTTTTCAACAGATAAAAATGTCTCTCAACCTCCACAGCTGTACTGACTAAAACAGAGCTTTTGTTCAGTCTTGTCTTGCTTACAAGACTTCCTGGAATTTTCTTCGGGGGGAAGAGGGGGGTGTTGAACAAAACCACCTTATCTGTGAAAGGGGACATTTGATTATACTCATTCTTTGCTCTGGATGCTATCTGGGAATTCACCCAAATCTTAAGTTTCAAAAGAGCAATTTATCATTTAGAGGAGCCAAAAGTTGCCTGAAGCAACTGAAATCCATAAATACCACTTCACCCTTATGTCTGAGACCCCTTTTGCATCAAAGAGACAAGGAAGTGATCAGTGCCAGCTGCCTTGGTGACAGCGTCCAGACTGCGAACCCAACTATTGGCAGAGCTCTCCTTCTTGGGAACTGAAGCACAGCTGTCAAAGAGCTCTCTCACTACCTGAAGAAGTCTACTGTATTTCTATGGTTCAGAGGGAAGTTCAGTGCCAGGCTGCAGCCCAGCATAACAAACCTCTCTTCAACTGGAAGAGAATGCTCTTTGTTTCAGATGCTTCCCTGCTGGAAAGCCTCCTTTCAATAGCTGTTGATGTATTGTTACCAGCCCACTTTATTATGCTGCTGACACCCTGGGGTATGACACCAGAGCAGTGCATTATTAATTGTTTTCGGGGTCAAGCTCCTGGTTCATCAGTCACTTACTGCCACTGCTATTGATTACGCCCCATTAGCAGATTTCTCCAAGAGCACATGCGTGACAGGAGGAGACTGAGAACAGTTTGATTGCTGGTGCTCCACACTGACTGACACAGATGGAAAGGAACTGAGCTGGCTCTTGGGAGAAAATCAAATCAAAGGCAACATCCAGTGCCCCTTAGGATGCACCGTGAAACTGAAGCAGGAGCAAGAGCTCTTGGTTCATATCCCCACCTGAAGGGCAGCAGGCTCACTGCGTACTTCGCTGGCTGTGAATGCTGCATGTCTTTCACTAGCTTTGGTGGAAGTTTCTATAGCCAAATTCATTTAAATTACTTAAAACCACTCAAAGGGCACCTGTCTAGTGAAAATACTCTTCATCCTATAATTCTACTGCAATGAATCTGAGACAGCATTAGGGAATTTCATGAGCTTAGAGGAATCGATGAATCATCTTGAAGTTAAACATATGCTTCTGTTTCCAGATACCCTCCCAAACCTCGTGCACTAGTTGGGCTTCCTTTCTCCTCCAATGTTTTTTTTTTTTCTTTTAATTTTTTCTCCCCCAGTATTCAAAATCTACATTAAAGAGAGACTTTTTTCAATCTATTCCAGCTTGTAAATTCACCATGGTAAAAGATCGGGGAAACTTGTTGGTGAAGAGAACTGTTGCTGGGGACAAGAATCCCTCTGTTATTTAAAGGGTCTAAGAGAGATGGTGAAATATTACCAGTCCTCACTGCCCATATCAGCACACTTCTAGAAGCTGCATCCATTACGGGAAGCAGACAGATGGGGATTTGCACCCTCTCCAGCTCACAGCCCATCATCCCATCACAAAACCTCTCTCATCATCTCAATTTAACCCCATAACTTGCCATCTATTCTGGTGCTTTGCCAGCAAAATTCACCTTGAGGAATAGATAAGACAGGTGTAAATAAAACCAACCAAACCTTAAACCTAGTAGCTACATGCACTGTAGTTCTCTTTCTCAGCCATCTTTTATCCTGACTATTTGATTACTGTATTTGCTACTCACCAACTTTATAGTGCACACAGCCTTCCAAGTCGCCCACCGTTGTCCAGCCCTGTTTCTTTTCTACTTCAGGGTCGTTGTGAAGGATTTTATTTCTTAACCAGGACAAATAGTAAACTCGCAACTTGTTCTTCTTACCTGGCCCCAAAATGAAACAAATTGGTTTATCTCCATAGGAAGATACTTACAAAAAGCCCTGCCCAGGCAAACAGAAAGCCCTGCAGAGTAAACCAAAATAATAATGAAGCAGAAAATGCTGCAACCACAGAAATCTCCCTCTGTTTTTATGTCCACAACAGCTTCACTCCAGACTCCACCCAGACAAGTGCTTTACCATAAGCAATGATGGTAATACCACATGAACATAAATGACAAAATCAACAGAACAGCTCTTTGGCTGGCTGGTTCTTAGGACATAAACAACTTTCATTAAAAGAGGGCTGTACTTCCACAACAAAAACACCAGAGAGTCATGCACTGAGATTAAAAAAAAAAATACATATCTATAGCTGAGTCAGAATGGCTCTTTTTGGCACAAAACTGTAGGAGAGCAGCAGGATGGAATATGAGACCTGAAACTATCTATACAGCTATCAGAAGGAGTAGGACTGGATTGAAAGGAGGAAGCACAAGTGAAGAAGAATATGGATATGATATTTTACAAACTTATGGATATGTATTTTTACAAACTGCACAAACTTTTCTCAGTTAGCAATCAGGACATTTCCATCCCTTGTATCATTCTCAGAGACAAACTGATTGAGTTTTAATAAGATTTTTCATGGCATAAATTTCATTACTGAACCACTTTACACGAGTTCTGTAGTAACGAAGAACGTACAATATCGGAAATTACTGTGAGGGAATTTCACGTGGCCCATGCAAACTTCATCTGCTTGCTAAAAGCTGATGACTGCTTTATCAGCAGCCCTTCCCTTGTGCTGTAAGAGTTGTACACAGCAACTGCGAGAGGTGTTTCTTCTCCACAGGTGAGAGAAGCTACTTTCCCAGGCTGCCCTATCTTCAACTGACAATGCATCTGCCATGTCATCAAAATACTGCGCAGACTCTTAACTCTCAATATGACAAGGCCTCTTTGAATGCAAAGCAAGGTTCACAATAAACTTTACCAGTAATTCTTTAACAACTAAGGGCCTACAAAGCTGAACTAGTGAGAAGGTGACCCTAAATGCACATATTCAAAGTTGCATTCTCCTTCCCCCAGCTCTTTGCTGCTCAAAACCATTACAGTTCCATAGATGAAACTGTGAGCGAGGAAGGGAGATCATCCCTGCTTTGACTGGGAGCCATTTAATAAGGCTCTGTGGAAGGAAAGAAAACAGGAGATGCTCTCAGGGACCATAGTTGTCACTGCAGTAGCTCCATGGTTGTGCTTCACCAGCCATGATGAGGTGGCCAGGTGACTGTAGAGAATGTTTCACGGCTCTTGGACGTAAGAGGTGACCTGTACCACAGCCACTGCTGGGCTGGAGCGACACAGGCAAGTGACACAGCACTGGCCTATGCTGCAGAAAGCTGTGACCTGTCAAGATGGTCCACCTGGCAGCCTTCCAGCCAGGCCCAGCTACAGAGTTCAGCTAACATCTTTAACTTGTCTTCTAAGTTTTCACATGATGCCTACTGACGGATCAGTTCATGGAGCTGGCTGCTTGGGGATACTGGTGGCAGCAGGACATGAGGCCCAAGCATTGAGACCATCCTGCTGTGCCCAGCCAGCTCCACCCGGGGGTCCTGGAGCTGGCACAGACCCGCTATCCTGATGGCAGGGCATCCCCTAACAGAGCTGGGCTTGCCAGAAAAAGAATCTGTAAGGGCTGGGGAAGCACATGGGAAAGCACAGCTTGCAAACAGGTTGCTCCATGGACTCCAGCACAAGACACGGCATTACAAAGACACATGGTCTAAAAGATCTTTTTATGATTAGCAGGATGGGTAAGGGCAGGAAGAAAAGAGGAGGTGGTTTCAAAGTAAAAAATCTGTTCACCAAGCTTAAAGTGGAATTGGAGACCTGATTGCAAATACTGGACCTGCTACTTAATTTTAAAAGCCCTTCTGTTCTAATGGAATGCAATGAAATGTGAAGTAACATTGCACTGTCCTTTGTTTATCTCCATTACAAATGGAACTGTAGATTTGGCAGTAAATAAGCACCCTGATTTATTGCCTGACTTCATATTGACTAAGACATGTTTCATAAAAGGATAAAACCCTACCACTCCTGTAGCTTTCCCAAGATTTGGAGAAGGGACTAGAGCATGAAACAGTCCCCAAAAGTCCCATATCTGACCAAGAAAAGGTCCTTCCATGAAAACAGTGCAAACAATAGCCACAAGGGCCCTTTTAGAAACATGGAAAAATAGGAAACATAGACCAGACCAGAAGCCACTTCAGTTCTGGGCAAGAAAGAGCTCAGAGGGCTCAAGGTCAGTACGAGGCACCATCGTGAGTTCCTGTTCATCAGGAGACAAATTCTGCTTCAGATATTTTCAAGGCTGTAGCTTTCCCGGTAGCTTAGTCAACCTTGAAGACTCAGAACAAACAGTACACATGGGAATTTCCCAGCACATGGCTAATTTTTTTAAAATTCTGGTTTACATGATGTGCACCAGTGTATTTCTGTCCAACCAGAAACATTTTTCAAAACAACAGAGAAATATATGAAGTGTGTTCCCATTGTGTTTTTGTGTCTAGACCACAGAGAAAAGTCACAAGACAGGAAATTCCTCTGCCTTTCTGCAGCCTGACATGAAAAGAGCAGGACTGGTTAGTTATACAAATATGGCTATGCACGTATTTCAACAAGTTATGGTGCTCTTAATGTTCACATTCAGAGTGGGGGGATTAGAGCCTTCTCTTTGTAAAGTTCTATCAGTCAGTTTAAACAGCTCTCAAAAATCTGGTCTTTTTTATTTTCTTGGGGACGATCTAAGAAAGAAAACTCAGCTCCAGACATCAAATGAACTGATCAGCAAGAGAATTCTTCGAGAACTCCCAGCTTGGATTCTCCCACAGACATAGTTTCAAATGTAAAGTCCCTTTTCCTATACTGCATTTTTGTTTTTGTTGTCTCTGTGGTTTGTAATTATTAAGCAGACAGATTCCAACCAGTTCTTCTACTCTGTCATCTCTTCCTACATTCCTGGTGCCACCGTCCGCCAGCGGGGTTGGCAAAACCCCCAGGGAGCCACAACAGGAGTGTGTTCTGTATGCATGTTGCCACTCTCACCTCCAGTATTTTTATCACTCTCCACTGTATCACCTGAGCAGCTGAAACTATGTTTTTGCCTCTCAACAGTATGAGCTGAAGAACCAATCAGCTACTTTCTTTTACCTGCAAAGCTTTCTTGTACTAGTTCTAGCAGGCTCAGTATCTCAGTATCAAAAGCTTTGTTGTCAAAAAGTTTTGTATTTCAGATATAAATTGGGTCAAGAATTGATTTCATGTTTTCAAACTCAAGAGTGTATATTAAAAGCAATTTTAGGTGACAATCCTTTCAAAATCCTAACACATTGCAACTTCCTCACACAATGTGGTGACACCTTTCAAACCCCACCACCAACAGCACATCACTTTCCAAAAAATTCAAGGCAACATAAGGCTGAGTGCACACAGTGAGCTGAATAATGCTCCCAGTGAAGCTGTGGCAGTCCTGGGACACAGCTCAGAGGCAGTTCCATAACCAATCTGTCAAAACATACCACTTGCAGAAACACAATCTCATTTCAGCATTTCAGTTTTGGCTGGAGAGGTGAAGCAACTCACCACGAATAAAAAGATACTTAGGGAAGTCATGCATGAGGGTAATAAAAACTGAGAAGTGCAGGACTGAAGGCAAAGCATGATATAAGGGGGAACTTGGGCATAACAGCATTATGGTTTCACTGAGTATGCTCCCCCAGCCCTGCCTTTCAGTGGTCAAGGATGTTTCTTTCCTGTTTCGTACTCCATAAAACTCCTCGTACCTCCCATAAAACACAGGAGATGGGACAGAGATAAAGGCATAAAACAGACAAAAATCAGCTGATTTCCTAAGGGTTAATGTAGCATGTCTCCACAGAGGAAGCAATAGTTTTGAAAGAAACAAAGAAAACGGATGTGTCAGGGTACTCCAATTGCGACTGACGCAAAGATAAAAAAACCTAAAACAATTATACACAAGACTGAATCACAGACATGTAGGGTAAGTTTCAAACCAACAGATTTCACACAAATTGGATTATACAATATTTTTGTTTACAAGGTCTGCTATAGCATAAACTCTATCAAATGGTGCCTTTCAAACAGCTTATATTTTAACATACAGCATCAGACATCAAAAGGACACACAGCAGGTTGTGTATTTTTAAACACTGCTTGATTCATTTTTTTATAGGTTTCACAGCATAGCTATAGCTGTAGTTGAGAATGTAGTAAGCGACAAGCCAATAAATTCAGTTGTTCCAGACAGAAACAAGTCCTGTGTTGACGACACGAGCATGGGCACGATTCTTTGGACCTGTGGTAGCACATTGCTAATCCATTAAATTCCATTAAATTGTCTAGGCGTGTGTCCTTTTGCACAATATTGGGAGACCCAAAGAGCTCCTCCAGTGGACTCAGAGTGGTTCCAGAGCCTCAACAAAATCTAGGTGGGTCTGAACAACAACAGAGGGAACACTGTGAGAAACCTTATTTAACATCCTCTCCCTGTCACACACATGCAACATATCAAAGACTGATTTTCCAAACAAACCAAAATAAAAGGAAGGTAAATGGCTGAACAACACCTGTGAAAAAAGACTAACAGTGCACCACATCAAGCTGCCTAACAGCAGGATAACCTTATGCAATAACTCTCTGGAGCCAAAGAGTCTGGAACCTCAAGCTTCATAAAACACGTTTTTCATCAGAGCACACAAAACAAACACAACAATCACCACCACCCTTCATCTCCCGTTCCTTTGCCATCTACAAGTTGCATCCAGTGAGAGACCAGGCCAAAAGCTGCACTGACCTGCCTTCTCACCCTGGGAATTTCCATTCCATGTACACACTGTACTCCTCTCTCTCAAACATAAACTCTTACTGCACATCACACTAAAAGCAAGAGCTCTTCCCATTCTACCGTTTTTAACACACAAGAAAGATGTCTTTAAACCCAAGTAGCAAATTCTGTATTGGTTAGAAAGAGGTCAGGTTGAAAGCAATTATGATAGAGGAAAAGAATGCCATTTTCACAAAGCATTAACTTCCAGCTCTCATATACTGAAGAAGCAAACAAAGACATTTCCCCCAATCCTGTGCAGCACTTTTAAAGGTCACCCTACAGAAGGAAGGACAGAGGGCAAGCAGGCACGGGTGTTGTGTGGAAAATGATTAAGTTGCAGAAATAAACTGTAGATTCAGAGAGGTGAAATGATGGAAAACTCGCTGACTTCAGTCAAGTCTGGACTTCCCCCTCAAAAGGCTGCCAAGAAAAGCTTTCTGTTATGCCATGACAGATGGAGGAAAAATATAACGCTAAACAGTTAACTTTACCAGAAATTGTCACCAAGACATTCAGGCCTTCAAGTACATCCATTTGCTGGAATCGTCTTCGATTGATGAGCGGATAAACCTTCCCCTGCCCACTTCTGTCTAGGAGCATCAGACCGCTTTCAGTGCCCACTAACAAGTTCACTCCTAGAAGAAACAAAACCAAAGATACAAGTTAGTAGGCACATTTTCCACATATTCTGATGAAGTGATGATTGATATAGCAACTGTCATGTTTGAAATAGGTCTAACCACTGCTGGATGGGTCTCAGTTGCCTGCAGCCTAAAAGATCTCATGATGTAGAGGCTGTCTACATTACCTGCCCACAGTGACTACTGACAACAAACCATCCATGTTCAAAAGAGTAAGAGACTGGTAGACCACAAAGGACTTTCTAGAATCAGAATCACAGAATATGCTGAGTTGGAAGGGAACCACAAGGATCATCAAGTCCAACTCCTGGCCCTGCACAGGACCATCCCCAAGAGTCACACCATGTGCCTGAGAGTATCATCCAAACACTTCCTGAACTCTGTCAGGCTTGGTGCTGTGACCACTTCCCTGAGGAGCCTGTTCCAGTGCCCAACCACCCTCTCAGTGAAAAAACTTTTTTCTAATATTCAACCTAAACTTCCCCTGACACAACTTCAGGCCATTCCCTTGGGTTCTGTCACTGGTCACCACAGAAAAGAGATCAATGTCTGCCACTCTTCTTCCCCACACAAGGAAGTTGTAGACTGCAATGAGGTCTCCCTTCCATCTCCTCTTCTCCAGCATGAACAGACCAAGTGACCTCAGCCACTCCTCATATGGCTTCCCCTTGAGGCCCTTCACCATCTCCACTGCCCTCTTTCAGACTCTCTCTAGTAGCTTAATATCTTCCTTATATTGTGGTGCCCAAAACTGCACACAGTATTCAAGGTGAGGCTGCACCAGTGCAGAGCAGAGTGGGACAATCACCTGCCTCAACCAGCTGGCGATGCTTTGCCTGATGTCCCCCAGGACATGGTTGGCCCTCCTGGCTGCCAGGGCACTGCTGACTCATATCCAACTTGCCATCGACCAGGACCCCCAGGTCCCTTTACATGGCACTGCTTTCCAGCGCCTCATTTCCCAGGCTGTATGTACATCCGGGGTTCCCTCATCCCAGGCGCAGAATCTGGCACTTTCCTTTGTTGAACTTCATATGGTTGGTGATTGCCCAGTCCTCTAATTAGTTGGGGTCTCTCTGCAGGGCCTCCCTGCCTTCCAGGAGTCAACAGCTGCTCCAAGTTTTGTGTCATCTGCAAACTTGCTTAGCATCCCTTCCAGTCCTGTGTCCAAGTCATTTCTGAAGACGTTGAAGAGCACAGGGCCTAAGATGGAGCCCTGTGAAATCCCACTAGTGACAGGTCACCGGTCTGATGTTACCCAATTCACTATTACCCTCTGTGCTTGACCAGTGAGTCAACTGCTCACTGCATGATGTGTTTATCCAGTTGTGTGCTGGACAGAGCATCAGTTCCCAAACAAAAAGGCATGCTAATGCTGGAAGAGGGGTGAGGGGTACCAAAACTCACACAAAATCATCATAGTTATATTTCTTAATGGCCTTAATCCCAAGTCAGACAGTTAAACCCCAGATACAACTATATGGGTGTCACTGGGCCATTTGGGCTGATTCCATAATGAACCTTTTCTAATACAGCAGGTGGGCCCAGTGCACAGGAGTGTATCTTGGTGTGGTCTGCATCTGTAGGAGTGATATGCCTTCTCACAGTACTAAAAAAGGGCATTGCTTGCCTAAACAACACCCTGGCCACCAAGCATGGGAGTGGTTTGCAAAAGGGAGGGCACATTAACCTGCCCCAGGGGGCACAAGGTGTCTCTGAAGGGGAAGAGGGTGTTAAGGGGGAGCAGAGTGGCAGCCAGGAGGAAGCAATGATGGGGAAGGGAGCTGAGCTACAGGTGCTGGAGCACCCTGAAAAGCCTCTAGGTGAATGGGAAAAACAGATGTAGCCTACTGGGAGGTCAGAAACCATCATGCATTTCCGTTTTCCTCTCACCTTTTCAGTAAGAAAACTGCAGAGGTTCCAGCAGTCCCCACAAACAATCATGTATCTTTTCTCAGATTTGCTGCTCTGCTATTTCTCCTGGGAGGTGTGTCATCCTCCCAGGCTCTCCAGCTACTGACACCTCCTTCATCCCCATCCTGCCTGCCTATCGCCTCTGCATTCCCCTCATGGTTTGCACCCACTGGATCCCATCCCACAGCTCCCATGGGCATTTCACCACAAGAACTTTTCACACAGACTGTCTCTTATACTGAGAGACGTCCTCAAATTGGGAAGTGGCAGAAGGAAGCAGGGAGAGTGATATACACACGAATCAGGTCTGAGCACAGGCTGCAGCACCAAACCAGCCTAGAAGTGCCCAGCAATTGGTCTCCTTCCTGCAGCTCCAGGACCCACTGACTAAAGCTGTAAGTGATTCAGCTTCAACATGCATTTCTGTATTTTTTCCAGTGTAGATTACAATTCAAAACAAGCAAACTGCTCACTCAGGGTCCCTTACCCTCTTTGCTCATCAGGGCTCCGTTGCTCGCGCCTCCACCCCAATCTCTCCTTCTGCTGCCCTTGTGGTGCAGTTGTTTCTGCTTCAAGTTCACGTGCACACCTGTCCCTGATCCCTTCCCTTAGCTATATGCATTTTGAGATGAAACTAATGAGGTACTACACTGATGGCAAGCAGTGCTTGTATTTTAAAATGCAAGCACCCTCATTACTCACAGACAGCAGAGCTCTTCTACCACTACCCTACAATTAAGCAGTTCTGTTTTTTTCAAACAAATGGAAATGCTTCCTGAAAAAGTACAGGCTGTCTGTGGAGGCTGGGTGTAAAAATCTATGCAATTGCATCCATCCATATCATTAACATTGACTTTCACCACTCAGAACTAGAAGAAACAACATCACAGACCTAATGCAATCAGCAGTCTGCCAGATACTACTGGCATTACCACTGGTAAAGACAAAGCAAAGCAAACAAAGCAAGTCCCCCTCTTTTTTAATAAGAAGCATCATCATGAAATTGTTTAACTTGCTTAAGGGTAGAGGAAGCTAAACCTTACCAAGAAATAAGCATGTGTACCAGCTTGAATCACCATCAGTTTGGCCCTAAATGTTTAACAAGGAAGGACTGTGTTACAGTTGTAACACACTTCTAGGATTTTACACCTTTTTTTTAAATCACCCTAACAGTCAGACACAGAGATCAAAGAAATATAAAACCATTAACAAGAATTGCTACTGGCAAAACAAGGCAGATTGGAGAAATTATGAATCATCTGTACTGATACCACATGATTTCTCTCTGCCTTTGTCCTCTCACAGCCTGAAAGTTTATATTTGCACAAGTCCTCATTTTATCACTTTATACACATGAATACAAGCAGAAATAGCATTGGGGTAAAAATTCTTACCAGTATATTCTGGAAATAAAGAAAACAGCAGATAGGAAGATAAGGTGTTGGGAGAGCTCTTTAACTGACACAGCTTTGCAGGCAAGAAGACTGAGACAACAGTGCTGTTCTGAGAAAAAAGAAATGGTGGAAATAACCCCAAAAGAGAACTAAGGTCCTGGAAAGAGCAATGAAAATGTAGAAAAGATAAGAGGACTGTGCTACCTGTACAATCATCATGTGACTCAGGGGTATGGCCAACTCTCTTCTTTATAGTTTTTAAAATTACATGCATGTGCATTTACAGTCTGCCAAGTTCTGGCATACTAGACAAATATGTATGTAACATATACAAGCATCATCTATTAACATCTAGATAACAAAAAATATCATGTGCCCCATAGATTCTGGTCAAGAAAAAAATGGCATAGCAGAAGAAAGCCCTCCCTGGGTGCTGCAGCATTGATGTCACATTGTACCAGGCAACAAGCACTGCTCTAAGCGTGGTGAAGTGTGGGATCCTGACTAACTGGTCTGGCACCAACACAAATTATTCCTTGTGACAAGAAGACCAGACACATTTGGTCAGATGACATCTCATACCCAGCTTCTCTCTGCAGTAACCACTCTTAACAAAGCTAAGTCACAGTCTCAGAATGGAAAATGTCCCTCCTACCCTTCTCTTTTCCCTCTTCCTTCCTACATAAACTGATGACTGAGGTGGCAAGTCATCTTATGAAACACATCTTAATTAAGCTCTGCAACAATACAATAGCAAGAGGCTCAAGAAGATGATTATTTTTCAAAAGAAATACCATGTGTGTACCAGGTGTACAATGTAAGGACTACTACAAGCTCCAAAAAGCTGCAAGAGATGTACCAGCAGGGTTTAGAAAAAGCTGAAAAGGACATCCTGATCAACTGAATGAAGCCTCTCCCAGGCAACTTGTGACAGAACAAAAGGACTCAAGATGCACCAGGGTAGGTTCAAGATGGACACCAGGAAGAAGGGTGGTTAAGCATTGGAACAGGCTGCCCAGGGAGGTGGTAGAGTTACCATCCCTGCAAGTGTTCACGAAACAACTGGATGTGGCACATAGTGCTATGGTCTAGTTGATATGGTGGTGTTCGGTCAAAGGTTGGACTCGAGGATCTTGAAGGTCTTTTCCAACCTTAATGATTCTAATGATTCTGTGATTCTAAGTCTGAACTGTGCAATAAGAAGCATATATACCAGTGGGAAATAATATCAAAGCAGAAGCAACATAATGTAAACAACACAGTAATAATCAGCTCTTGCAACAGGAAGATGCAAACAAGCACTAAATAAACGCAGAGGAACAGCTACAGTTTCGGAGGTACATTATCGAAGACTGCAAACTCATACTGGCGTGTCTACACTTCAGAAGTGCAGGAGGCAAGGGAAGAACACGTTTGCATTACCCCATAAGGCAGCACACAGTATCTCAGAATTGAATCTCTTCTTGTATTTGCGAATCTCTGGTGTATCACTCTGTGGTCGAGTATTCGTGGGATTCACATTGACAACTGATCCTTTCCGTGTAGGGTCTTGCCTTATTGCTTCTGATCTCATTGCTTCACTAGAAAATCCTACTGAAAAAAAGAAAAGTGCATGTAATATCCCTCAGGTGCTAAATTCTGGCCATATGCTCTTGACATTATACAACCCAAATCAGTAACTGAGAATACTGAAAAAGTCTTTCTTTTTGTAAGAAATGTAAATGGAAAAAGAAAATAAACTATGCAATCCATTGCAAATTAAATAAAAAGCATGATGGTAACATTCTTAAGTACTTTAAAGAGCCACTGAACCCTTTTTCAATTGTTGTCTTCAGCTACTTTACTTACCCACAGAAGTCACAGTTGTCCCACTAGATGGAGAAATCTGTAGTAATCTGGGGTCTATAAAAGGTGTAAAGGAGGAGGAAGATTTGTGTTTCTGGAGTGTGTTACTAGCGGACTGAGTCTGCAATGTAAATTTCAACTTTATTAATATTAATGACAATAAAAAGCATGGATAACAACAACCAACATTTTAAAGTTACTACAGAATTATGCTACAGAGCCTCCCCAAACTTTTATACTTCCTTTATAGATATACAACGCACTACAGGCACCACACCTGAACTAGATACATAGGCACACCGCACATGTTACAGCAAAACGTCATCCCTGAAACTCAGCTGCTAGCAAAGCCTTTTACAACAGGCCACTATAATCAGGCACAAGGGGAATGTCTCTCCTTTTAGAAATCTGCTTAAATAGATGTATACTATTTTATCTGCAAGTTGTCCACTACCTACAGTTTTTGAATTTATGAAGCATCTCCTGAACTGAGTTAGTTTAATAAATTATGAAGTTTGATCTCTTGGCTTGTGCAACAAAACCAGAACTGTCTGGGATCAAGCATTCACTTCTATTATGGATTATGTTTCAATGTTTGCTACTGTTCATTCTCCCTATTTTGTTTAACCTGAGCCTCTTGCCAGAAAGCTGCAGCAGGTTCTTCCACCTTTATTTGACAAAGCAACATATTAAACCTGTATTGAACAAAGGGGCTCATTAGTGTGGAAGGTGTAGCAAACGGTGACATGACACTATGAATATGTAGTGGATAAAATCACTGGTGTTTGCTGAGTTATGAGGTCTAAACATGAAAAAACATAAAGAAAGAAAGAAGTGAAACAATGAACTGTTAAAAGTGGAAATGAAACGACTTAAAAACTCTTGCCAGTTTAGTATTATAGTGACAACATAGCATAATGAAGCAGAATGGGACAAGTGAAAAAATAGTATATATATAAAGGGTGTGCATGTGGGTAAGTTATACCAAGCAGTACTGGGTTTTTGCTCAGCTTTATGCAAATGTAGTTATGAGACACTTCTTTAGCATCAACTAATCTTCAACCTATGATCTTCCTAAGCCTCTACTCTGCAGAAAAAACCCCGCAATTTGTCTTCAGAGTGTATCACTCCGCTGCACAGCTCAATACCAAAAGGTTCCTTCATCACCAGGTACTGCCCCAGCCTTCACTTCCTAAGCTAAGTGAACCCTGCTTACTTATTGCTTAGATCAAAGTAATGAGCAAGCATATCTCTGGATCAATCAACTGATCTCTATAACCTACAAATGTGCTTTTAGAAAGATCAAAGACCAGTGAAGCATATCTGAAAATTAAGTATTATGCTAAATGAATTTCCAGGAGGAAACGCTCCCTTCCCACCCTCCTGCTATGTGGTTCAGAAGCATTTTTGATTATGTAGTAAACGCGTGCACTGCCATCAGCCTACCCAGCTCACTGCAACCTCTCCTCATCACAGCACTTGCACACCTACATGGCAAGACTCTACCTTGAGAAGCAGCAGCTTCTTTTCACCAAGTTTTGCTCCCCTGTACCATTCCCCTGCTTGAGAGGTCCTCCCTGTAAGCCAGACTGGCCACCCAGCCAGGAGTGGAGACACCATATTAGGCTCCTCGCTTACTGCTAGGGTTGGTAAGAGCCAAACGATGCCCTTTGTTCATTCACATGTGTGCCTCTTCTCTGCTGTGAGGAGTTACACACAGGGGAAGGACCAGGCTTTCCCACCAGCACTTAGTAAGGGAAGATACTATCCTGGGGGATCAGCCCAGAAGGGCAAGAGGGAGCTTCCCCCATGGCAAAGCCTTCTCTACCTGGACATAACCAGTGCTGGTGAACAGTCATCTTTACACAGCTGCTTTTCAGAATACACACATACTTGGAAAAAAACCAAATATTTTTCCCCATTCATTATTCCAAAATAACAATACCTCAGGCTTTTACAACCCTACCGGGCACCACCTGATTTGTTCACTCAGCCCACGTGGCAAGGTGTAAAGAGCAAAATCCCTCCGCAGCTGCTTCCTCTCCCAGAAGGTGAGTTTCCACAAGCAGCTCCTCTTATGTGTGGAGTTACTAGTCCAGCCTTTACTGACAAAGCCAAAATTAACTGCTAATTCTGAAGAGGCACATTGCTTGCAATTACACTGCTCCCGGAATAAAACAGAATTTAAAAAAAAGAGTATTGGCTTGAAAATGCTAGTAGTCAAGTTTAGTTTAAAATGAATGCCATGCAATTAATGACTCACTAAAGGAAGCAAAATAGTAAACTGGCAAGTTTGGCGTGGGACTGCTCTACAGTTAAGGGCTTCTTACACAGAACTGAAATGTGTTATTTGGAGGGCGGGAACGAAGGTGACAGGAAAAAAAAAAGCAGGGGAGATTGGCTGGAGTTCCTTTGCAAACTAGCTACTAGGCAATGCTGCTATAACCCTACGAAAGCAGCCAGCTGTGGTGTAAGACATACCTCATTAGTAGTTAGCTTGTCCTGGGGTGTCTGTGGGGACATGGTGGGTGTCGGCTGGCTGGAGGATGGGGAGGAGGAGGTGGAGGAAGTGGAGGAGGAATGGCTTTGCTGTAAGAGATCTGGCAAGAGGTGAATGCGACCGGCAAAGCCATTGCTCTCATGATGGCTGGCACGCTTTTTGTCAACTGTACTCTGTAGAAAAAACAGGCACACTTGTCTTGCTCAAGTGCTGCTTAAAGGTCTATATCCCTAACAACTTCTCTCCTTCTCTCCCTCACTTCCTACCTTTTCACATTTATTTTTTAATTTATTTTTTTAAATAAGCTGATAATCCATGCTTTGATGCCTGGATGGAAAGGGAAAGTGGGCAGAGCTACTAGTATTCATCAAATTCCCACCTCTTCTGGCAGGCAAATGCTTGCTTTGTGTGGTTGACTTGCACAGCCAGTTTCACCAATTCACAAAAGAGTGACTGTGCTGCTAAGTCTGACACCACAACAGGGACAAACACATTTTTGGGGGTGGGACGAGGATTTCTTTCCCTATTGTTTTGTTTAAAACTAACTTAGATCCTATAGAGATAGCAGTTTGGACTTTCTGGAGAATGCCTGCAGATAACTATTTAAAACAATAACCATGAAATCTTAATTTTCAAACCAGAGGGCTCAATTAAGAAATTGGCATTCAGTTGTGAAACTCAGAAATGCAATTACTGAGGAAACTCCTATAAGCTAGCACGCTCATTAACACACAAGCTCATTTAAAAGCAGGGAATCATTATCTTTCAGAGGCACAAGAATGCAGTATTTTCAGAATCAAAGGAAACAACATAGCAATCTAGCTCTGTCCACATTCTCTGCTTCACCACCTATTCTACTTCTCCCCCACACCAACTGTTGCATGAATTTGTATGTACATGTGTGTGTATGTTATTTGGGTGGTCTGTATGCCCTCAACTACGGTTCCAAAACAATTTTAAAAAGCCCTGAGTGCTCCCACCCCGTCTCCCTACTAGACCCACTCCTGAGACACATGTTTGGTTCTATGGTAAAACTAAACTAAGTTCTTGCTCCATGTACTTGCTCCACACACCTGTAGCTTTTCTACCCTTCTCTCCCACAGACTTTGAGATATTCTGCATGGTGCTGCCATGGGTGTCACTGGAAAGCATGCAAAACAGAAGCAAGGGCTACTCTCCTCCTTGCATGCATCAAACATCTTGCTCATCTGAAATCCACTACAGCTGTGTCTTGATAATACGAACAACAAATACAATGTAGAAACAGCATGGGTGAATGAGCGAGTGGGTTAATGAGCACAGAAAGGGTGCAGCACTGCACAGGGAAGGAAAAGCAATACCTGTCGAACAATTAAGGTGCCCTCCTTCGAAGGAGTCAAGGCAGGTTCACTCTCCACATCATCATGGACAATCATGGTTTTCACTGACTCTGTTTCACCATTGCTCAAGTTCAATGTTGACCTATTTGGCAGACAAGAAATAACTGGAGTGAGATAATAGCACTAGCGCCCTAGCTGTCACTGCCCTGCATCAAGGCACACTGAAAATTAATTTGTATTGTGACCAGAGTGGAATATTTACAATATAACCTGCCTAGAAAAGCCTCTCTATAAAAAACCCCACAAAAAACAAAAAAACAAACAAACAAACAAACAAACAAAAAAAAAAAAAAAAAAAAACAACAACCAACCAACCAAAAATACCCCACCAAAATACTCAACAACCTTTTCCTTCAATCCTCTACGAGAGAAAACAGATGTAAAACACTGGTAGAACAACTAACACTGCTCGGACATCATCTGGTCCAGAAGTAGATTCATCTGCTCCTTCTTGTTCCATATCATCATCTTCCTCATCTGTTGTCCCTGACTCCTCACTTGAGGATGAGTAGTCTGTTACTTTATGTGGAGGTCGCACATCCTCCACTGCTCGCAATTCCTTTGCCAATGCAGTTAAATCCTGATGGGAGAGGGGAGAAAAAAACCAAAAAACCTGATGTTGTGACTAAGAGAGAAGAAGAGTTTGCAAGACAAATGCCCAGGATTAGTGCTCGAATTTTCTCACTTGTCCGCTGCCATGTTTCCATTGCCCCAGCTGTAGTTTCCTCAGACTTACTCATTTCTAACAGTTATGAAAACTCTCTTTCTGATAAATTAAAGCACCAGAAGAGTCAACCTAAGGGGGTCTTGCCATATCATAGAAAAATGTGCATATTCTGAATCCCAACTGTCCTGATTATGACTTCATTTTACTCTACTATACCATCTGAAGGACATATACAAGCACCAAGACCCACTCTGACATGGTTGACTGTCACAGTTTATTTTCCTAAACTTTTCAGATTAATAGCACCCACCTACTATCAGAAGGGAAGGATCAACCTCTATGTTTCTTTAAGAAAGCCGACATATTTGGGTGCTAGGGTAGTATCATAAGAGATATGGCAAGAGAAGAAAGTTTTAAGGAAAGTTGGAAATACTGTGAAAACCCACTGAGTTTCCCGAGATACAACTGGACACACAGTTGTAATCAATTATAACAGCAGCCAGACAAATGACATGTCAGAAATCTTTCACAGAAAGTAGCAACAATTTAAGGTCTTACCACTTCTCCCTGCACCATTCAGCCCAGTATTGGCACATTCAGGTCATATGCACGATCATGGATCCAGCCCCAGGAAGGAAGCACAGGATTGAAAGAGAGAAAGGCAAAGGTTAGGTAGAAAGAAGACCAGAGAGCAGAAATCAATCCCAGAAGCAGAGCAAACCCTAATGTTTAAAGTACTGTGATGTGTGCAGGCAATTGCACAACTGAGAATGTGCTGCTACACCCACAGTTAGAAACTCAACTCAAGCTGAAGTTCATCCCTCAGGGCACCATGAATAGAAGCTCACACTGTACTTTTTGTGAGTCCACCTAAGAGAGAAGATGGACAAGGGAAAGTGGATGCAACTTACCGCAGGCTTGATAGGTCTGAAGACTTCCTTTTTCTCTTCAGGCTTTTTAGGTGCACTTTCATGACGCTGCGACGGCGAACCCTCTGATTTGGATGATGCTGCATGTGCCAAGACCCCAAAAGGAACATCGAACAAAACAGATTAGGCAGGGGGCTAAAATATGTTTTTCTTACTTCACTTTGGAGAGAGGAAGAGAGGTGAGAAAACTATCAGGTGGTGTCTGACTGCATGACCTGAGTTTCACAAGTTCACTATTACATTGTCCCTGAAGGACTATACAAAAAGACATCATTAGCTGTGATTTGTATAGGTGCGACTGACCTATGACTGAAGCCAAAGTAAACAGTCACATAACTGCAAATCAAAAGACTCAAGTGTGGCCACAAGCTGGAAAACCTCCATCAGCATTCAATGTAGCCCAGCTGAGACCTATCCACAGCAGTCTGCACCCTGCCACCATCAAGATGACAGGCAACAAGCACCAAAATGTGCTCTTGCACACAGAAGGAAGGGAGCTACGAGGACATGGAGACTGGGATGTTTGTACATAGGAAAACAAAGCACTGCCTGGATGCAAACTAAAGAACAATTAAACTCTTAGCAACGACTTTTGCGCCTATTGCCTTTCCAAAGCAAGGACATACAGCCAAGGGGGTACAGGAAGCTAACCCATCTTTGACATTGCATGCTCAAAGGTCATTCCATGTGGGGGTTAGCATCCTTTATTATTGAGTGTTTCACAGCTTAATAAACTTAGACACACAATGTTACAAAGGGTGGAAGAAGGACTTACATCTCATCCGGAACCGCTCTCCAGACCCACTCTGAGAGCCAGGGTGGGAGCCAGGCTGTGAGCCAGAGTTGCTTGAACCCGAAGAACTCCCACTGCCTGGCCTTGGTACGAGCTTCTCCACCCTTTCCCACAGCAGACGAGGCTCTATATTGCTGTATTGGGGAGAAAAGAAATTATTTGTCACACACTTCAGTTCCAAATTCCTGTTTCTAAACTCAAACATCACTCTTCCTCAGTGTTTCGCTAATAACTCATCTGAAAGAACACTAAGCTGAGGGTATCAGTGATGCTGCACAACCCAGGAAGTGGCTCCCTCTGCCACTGGCTCCCTCTACCTTATTTATGATGGTAAAAAAAAAAAGTTTAGGTGGGTATAAGCTATTATTTACATATGGAGATGTCTACCTGCCATTCTTATGTATCTAACCTAAAGTGGACAGTTCCCTCAGCCTGCACGCAGCAGGTTTAAAATTGGCTCAGAAGTCCCCTGGGCACCCAAGCCCAAGCCAAAAAGAATACCAGAATACCTTCACCTCCGTCTAATGAGCCAGTTCCAGGGGAGCCTGTCCATTTTGCTCTGCTGAGCTCAGACATCAGTCCCCTCCTCCCCCTTCCTAATATCAGATGCTCTGTGTAACAGCTCATGGATGCTTTTCCCCCTCCTGAAGTCTAGTTCTGGCCAAGATGCCAGCAAGTTTCTGAGATCTCTTCACTTTAGAGCCTCACCTCAAGAAAGGTGAGGACATTAGGCTCACAAACCTCGTGGAGTTTCTTTGACCTGCTTGGTTATTTTGCTGCCCACTGCCCTGCAGTGGAGAATCACGGCGGGACAGGACTGGTGATCGGGATGTTGTTCTCACAGGTACCTTGGGAGAAAAAAAGATTGTGTTAAACCCATGAAGAGGAGAGAGAGAAGAGGAAAATTAAACCTGTCCTGCCACAGAATATATTCTTAAGATTTTAACACTTTCTAAGTCCAAGCTACCATCAATGACCAAAAGCAGTAAACCAACACCCATAAAACCAAAAGCCTTAGTTGGGATGCTATTCAGAATTTGAAGAGAACACAAAGTTTAGTCTTAACATTAAATAGCGTTTAATAGTTACCACACGAACACATACACACCCCACTACCCTCCCAACTACTGAGACATTTAAAAAGAATATGTCATTTTGACTGAAGCAGGGGAGGCACAAAGCAATTTGCTGAAACAGCATGAGAATTAGGAGAATAAGCTCAAGGGAACCAAACAAATGCCCGGGAATGGATCAGCAGAAGGCAAAGACTGGTGGGGGAGCAAGAATATACTCAGAAGAAGCAAATCCCAGTGGATGGGAGGGGGGATGGGAGGGGGAGAGGAAGAGGAAATATATTGAATGTTTCCTTTTTGTTCAGTTCCATCTCAATTTTAAATAAATGTATGATTCATAGTTTGGGTTGCTAACAGATGAAGAGGAAAATTAACTCTGAGCAATAACCTCAGGGATATTTTAAATTCTTTTCTGAATATGGCAATGACTTGTTAAGTTTGCATAATAAATTGTTTCTCTGAAATAGCTGCATTCTGTAAATAATTTCCAATTTTATATGAAGCTTCAATATTGTACTTAAGGTTGATTATCATTAACCCATTGACTGAACATCTACATTAGGATCTGCCTTCCAAAATACTGTTATCGATGCTGGCACAAGGGCACAGTCTTCCCAGTGCCCAGGGTATCACATTCTTAAGAAAATTATAATTAATAATAAAAAAATAGCACACATCTGTCTTTCTACTCCTTACCCTTGGAGGCACCTCGTCACTGTCTGATCTAGCCCAAGCCTTTTGGGTGGGGTCGGGTACCTCCGACTTAGAGTCAGAACTCTGATTTAGCACTTCACTGCGTGAAGGTGGATATGGGTCCTGGGAACGAAGATGGTGATGAGCAAATTTGGGAGAAGGGTCACTGAAGGAATGGGATCGCGAGACAGGGGAAACATTGTTCTTGAGAGATGCCAGATGGGACCACTGTACCTTACAAGAAAACAAAACATAAAACATTCAATGCGCTCAGTATAACCGGCTTTCCAATTAACACAGAATAAAGGCAGGTGGGGTGGGCAGAGACAAATTGGTTATGGCATTAGGTAAGCGTGGGGTGGAATCAATGCACTTAAAAGCAAGGCAAGCGCCCAAAGAACGTAACAGACTCAAAATACAGCACATATGCATTTTTTGTGAGATATGCTCTCCACATACACATACACTGGTGCCCAGAAGAAAACGGGACCCAATATCTGCTCAATGAGACTGAGTCCAAAGGCCACTCAAGACAGAAGTCGCCTTCGATTCCCCAATCTTCAGTGGGCTTTGACCAGGTCTCATGGCAGCACTGTTGGACTGGGAAATTTGAAGTGGACATCCAATTGAAGAAAAGTACAAAATTAAAGAATGCTCTGAATTGTGCAAACCAGAAGACATTTATGTTTCCTAATAAATTTAGGAACCAGACACAGTTCCAAACTTTTGGAGAAAGACCATAACACAAAGCCTTTATTCCTTTACAGTCATTGCAATATGTATAAAAAACATAATATATACTGTATATATATGTACATATATATATTGTATACATATGTACAATGTATATTATACTTACACCATATATGTACCATATACTGTACATATATACATATTTAGACACAAACTACACACACACACTTACACACACACACACACACACACATTCAACTACATACATTAAGAAGGCACAAAGTGACTCCAGAGTCAAAATTCCATTGGGATTTCCACTGAAATACCTATTGACCCTTCAGCCTGCTTCCTCCTTTTGCATAAACCTGTCTTTTAGAGTTGACTTCTGAAACTAAGGAAGAGGAAATGTCCTAACTGAGGAACATACTGTTTCCACACCTAGTAATTAACCAAAACTTTGCTTTCAATCCCAGTTTCAGTAGGTTGGATGTATTTGTTTTTGTATGATTATTATTTCCTCAATTTTAATACACACAGCTGTTGAAGAGCCTGATTATCCTTAATGTGAGTGGAAGACACAGACTTTAAAAGTAGCTGGCACAGAGAACATGAAGATACAAGTCCAATATTTTGAAATAGTCATAGAGGTTTGAATATAAGCCAGGAATTAATGAGTAAGAGATGAAGTTCTGTCCTGATTTCTCCCACTCTCCCGTCTGTTCAAATTCTCCTGTTGCCCAAAAGAGTTGCAATACCTAGTCACAGTCAGGGATGTTGTTAGCTTGCACTGTCATCAACAGACTTTATTTGAAAGAAGAAAATTCTGCATGGAAACAGAGGAACTGAATGCAGAACTACACCATTTAATTTAATACACCTAAATTGCTCAGAATTTATGGGCTATGTCTAAGTTTTAGACAGAGGTTACTTTTTCAATTCATGCCATAATTCCTATGAGATCAGATATTAAGATCTGGAGGTTCTTCATTAGAAAAAAACAGAACAGCTGCCATGCAGCTCAGTGGTTTCAACCTCTTTTTGATTTTCCAGGGGTGGTAGAGAACTCTATTTAGCAGCTGACAACAAACTTGCTTTTCTTAGTCATGTTTTGTAAATCTCTTTGAAACCATGCTCATACTATTAAAACCCACTTGTTTGGTTAGCTTCCCTCAGCAAGAATTTTAAAAACCAAGCAAGCTCACTTTTTTTCTGAGCATCCTTTTTATTAGTAAATACATTGCACAGAGCAAATTCTGAATTGTAAAAGTGTTCTGCAACTGTCACCAGTGTTTAGTCCATGTCACTGTTGCACAGATAATAACAGAATGCAACAGTTCTAATCTAGCTCTAACATTAAAAAAAAACACTCCCCCCCAAAAAAAAAATCACAAACCCCAAAAATCCATCAGTTTATCAATAAAATAAGCAAAAACAGATAAAGAGCAAATCTAGTGAATAAGCTACTTTGTGTAACAGTGCTACCATTTACATAAGACTTTTTAAGTGCCAAGATCGCAAATTTGAAGGAAACCTGTTGGGACTTCTGCATTTCCTCCAGGCTCACCAGGATTTTCCTGGGCACTTACCTGGGGCTCCATTGGCCTCTGCAGGGCAGGCTGAGCAGGTTCTGAGTTTCCATTGGAAAAGGACTCTGATCTTGAAGGCACTGGTGGCTCCAACACTTTACCCATCTGTTTAGACTGTGCTTCAGGGGAGCCCTGATTAGTTTTTCTAAACCTCTCCTCCACCTAAGCCAAAATAAACAGAGGTTAAGCCTTGAGTCAATAAAACCAATTACAGTAGAAATACAAAGGTGAGTATCACCTTTTCTTTACAAAAAAGAAACCAAATACATCTGGGGTTTAGCAGGATTTTTTCCCTACCACTTTTGCCAGCACTGTAAGTTTACTGAGTGAACTACACCAAAGTGGTAATTGTGCCAATATGGAAAATCCATACTGGAAAGAGATGAGATACAGGAGGCAGTAAGATGTGAGATAATATGATGAAAGACCATTACTGGGTTTCTTTCTGCCTAGACTAATTATTATCCATCAGTATTTTCCCCACAAACAATAAAAAGGATATATGAAAACAGAAACAACTTTACAATATAAAAGTACATTTCCCACTGCTATCCCTTACTTTAGTTACCTACCTTATGAAACCAATGGTTTTGGATTATCTGCTTTCTTGTGCTTTTCTCTTTGGCAAAGGAAAAAGAGATAGGAGGATATACTTCTCTACCAGGTAATACTGGAGCCTGTTCGTCTTTAAGTACAAAACTGTAGGACTGATCATCCTCTCTCTTATCAAATACTCCCAACACAACCTCATAGGCTGCAGAGGACAGCCCCAGCAGCTTGTTTCTTGTTCTCAGGAAGGTGCAGAAGTGATCATACACTAACGTCAAGAGCTTGTTGAAGGAAAGACTAAATCAGAATGTGCTTAGTCCTCAGAAGAACATCAAGCAAGGTCCCCATACAGAAACATTGACTCTTCCAAGGCCACAGCATTGAGAACAAAGTGAGAGGTATGAAGGGCAAGAGACAGAGAGAGGCTACAGGCAGAAAGCAAATATCCTCCTCAAATTTCCTAAGGCCGTCTGTCGCTGGAACCAGGGCAGGATGTGCGTTTCTGCCAGAGGAGCTGCCTCTGAGGAATGCTAAACTCCCAGAATTTTATCAAAGCATCAAAGATCAACGTGGCAGCTTGGACTGATTTCATGTGCTTTAAACCCTTGTGCCTGAAGCACAAAACCAGTACTGGGGTGGTTTCCTAGCAGTGACAGTCTGGAGAGACTGGCTGTCAGAAGACAGAGGCAAATTTCCAGGACTCCTCACTTCAGCTGGGCTGCTTTACAAACCCAACCTGCCTCTGCTTTCCAAAATTTGAGGATGTAACAGTTTGCCTATGGGAACAAGCAGACAAACTTCTGCCAGGTCTACACAAAATACACCATGTCTTGGGAAGAACAAGAAGAACAGAAGCAAGCATCTTCACCACACAATTATTTTCACCACCATGTTCAATTTCACAGAGTCATCCTTTAAAGTACAAAAAACAGGCCAGACTTCTTGTTATGAATAGAACAAGGAAAAGCCCCAAGTCCTTCTGTCTGAAGGAGCAGGTTTTCACATCTCTAGCGGTAGATGATAGGAGGTTTCTTCCACAAAGCACATGAACTGCATGAGCCACGTTGCTTCAAAACCAGGCAAGAAGTGGGAAGGAGACAGAGAGTGCATCCCTGGATAGAAACACACCCTGTTCCACTCATCTTGACTGTCTGGACCTGAAAACGGTATAAAGCTCCAACCTCCCCACTGCTTCCCAAAGCCAATCTTAGAAGTCCTTTGCCTTATATCCTCATTGCTACTGCAATGAGTTAAAAAACTGATCACCATTAAACTTTGCCAGAACAGGAAAGTTAGTCCACTTCAGCTTATCACCCCTGTGGTCAGCATCTCCGCAGATGGAGACTTTCTCTGAAGAGCAGTATGTCTGAAAGTATGAGGGACAGAATACTCATTCTAATTCGCTATTTTATGTCAAGAATGATGCCAGAGTTAACGCCTGCTCTTAAGATTAACTGGTGTCACTCCCACTGCCAGGCTATACTTCTACCACACTTTTTAAAAAGACTATTACACAGCAAGCTCTGGGAAGATTTGACTACTAACCAACATTTCTATGCCTTCATTCGTTCTAGCTAGAGTAATCTCAAAAGAAAAAGACTACAACAGAAAAATAGCTGAATCACTGGTTCTTCTAATGGATGTAACACTTGAGTCTTCATTAGTTTCTCTCCTTTTATACTCTGAAAGGAAAATGGAGCACATACAGTTCTGCATCGCTCCAAAGCCAGCATTCAGGCCAGACAGAAGTGCTGGACTGGCACTATGCTTTCATTGAGATGGGCCAAGAGTGTGCAACAAGGACCAGAGGGTTGGTTCCATGTCTGCACCACTACATACCAATAAGTCTGAATTTATTCCAAGTAAGAGAGATGTACCTGATACATCAACCCTCAAGCAGAATGGATGAGATAGCACAAACATGGTTTATGAAAAACTTGGACAACAGCATCTAGAAGAAAATGAGTTTGTGTCCACCAAGCCCAAACAGCGATACTTCAAAGACTAAGAAGCACTACTGGATGAAGGCAAACCGAGAGCTATTTTATCATGTTCAGCAACCCCAAGGATATTTTTTGTTCTTGTTCCAAAATGTATTTACCTAGTTCCCACAGGCTGCTGATGAATGCCTTTAAGAGCTTTGACTAGCATTGCCCAGTCTGGTGTTTTGCAGGCAGTACGGTGCTCAAGGGAAACATAAGAATAAGACTGAAAGAAAGCCAAGTATGCATCAGAGGCAATTACTTGCTTAGCTTACCCATGGACCAATGGAGACAGGGGACCACTCGCTGAAACAAACAGCACGTTGGTGACTTCTGATGGACTTGTGAGTGCCTGAAGTCCAACAAGGCAGCACCACAAAGTTTCAAAATAGCGGGACATGATCTCAGAAGAGAATACTTAACACTTCAAAAATGAAATTAATGAAATTCTGGTTTGTGTTCAAGAGAAGGAAATTTCGAAGAGCCTATGTTAAAACATCAAATGTGTAACATGTGCTGTGTGCAAATACCCCTTATACGTTTGTGCTTTCCAAATGACTCTCAATTACCAATCACCAGTACTTGCTAGAGACACAGACAGCCAACAGCACCAATGCTTCCTACAAAAACATATCTGATGAAGCACAGATGTCACTTCCTGATGTGATGCTTCCAAAACTAGGTCCCCTTAGTCTGCAGCCTTCCAGACCTTCTTTCCAACTTTTATATATACTTCAAAACTCTGAACTTCAGTGATTGCAGCAAAACTAATCAGAAGTAGCTCTCAGGTTTGGAAACCAGTGGCCAACAATTTAAAGTATTCTGCCTCTTATGAGTGACGCTTTGGCCTTCAACTGTACTGTAGCAGAACTGCACTCATGCTGATGCAAACAGGCAGAGGAGCAGTTAGCAGATTCCTGCCCACAAGCAGGACTTACCTCACGTGCTCTTTCAGCAGGCTCATAGTGGGATTTTGGCTCAGGGGTATGATAGCTTTGTTTATTTCTTTCTTGCTGCTGCTGCTGCTGTTGTTGCTGCTGCTGCTGTTGCTGCTGCTGCTGCCGCCTGTGATCGTGCTGCAGCGACAGAAGGTAGGCTTGCTCCTGCTGCAACTGGCGCTGGAGTCGCTCTGCCTGTCGGTGTTCCTCCATCTCTCGCCATCTGTATTCCTTTGAGAGAACAGGTGAGTAATTCAAGACATGACATTGACTGTGCATTGGACGTGTCCCTATCCATCCCATTAAAAAGGCACCTTTCTGGTTGCTGTTGCAACTTTTTTTGTTTGTTTGTTTGTTTATTTCATTGTTAAAGTGTAACCAAGAGCTAAGTTAGACCCATATGGCTTGTGTCTCATGTTGGGAAAGTCAAGAGAGTACTGCTAAGCTTGACATGATTGCAGAGTTATGTCAAAACTGATTTTTATTAAAGGGAAAAAAAAAGAGTTATTTATACTAAATCCAGTGTAAAGTTCATAAAACAATGACTTAGACCAACACTAGGCCATTGTACCCTGGGGTGGATTTACATATCATGTGTGGTTTTGATCTGCAACACAAGCACTCTAGTTCTTCACTGAATGCCAAGGTCTGTTCAGAAACTTGACCACCACACTAGAACTGTTCCACTTTAACATAAAGCCTCCTCTTACTGCCCAGAAAGCAGTGTGACCATACAGCACTTCTCATATGTGCCTGTCAGCCCACAACGCTAGCATAAATGGCCTTTTAATCAAGCTCCTTTGTTGTCATACTGTCAGTGCAGCTGTGCCCGACTGAGGGAAGCCTAGTACTAACTGGATAAATGGATCCTATAGCTACTGAACAAAACAGATACAGTGCTTTACCAGTAACATGGCCTGCTCCTGGAGCAGCTGCTGCTGTAGAATTTCCAAGTGCCGCTGCTCCTCTTCTAGCTGTCGCCTGATATACTCCTGTCACATAGAAATTACCCAGCAATAAATTTATTCAAAAGGAATGCATCAGAACCCCCTGGGTGGAACACCACACGCTACTTCCCCAGTTCAGCTTCAATGAGAAACGCACTTCAGGATGGATTAGTGCCTGCAGAACAATTTAGGAAGCCCTGCCTCTTAAGCATTGGATTTTGGCCCCTTCTATTCTGAAATTTGCACTCCTGCAAATGTTACGGGCACAGGCCAGAGCTCGTTTATGTATTTTGGAAGTGGTTTCAAGAAGCAGCAAAATGCACTTGAAGGTTTTGGAAAGTTAAAACACAGCAAGTCTGATTCAACACAGCCAATACAAAGTCACATGCAAGTTGTATTAAACATTAGTGTGTTGCGCTGGTGCGATGAACTGTTAGCAACAGCTAGAGCCAGGCATAGTGTAGGCAGAGCTGGAGCAAGCTCCCCCAAAGGGGCTCTGCCAAGTGCAGTTGGGACCTGCCCTGCTGTCTCCCCTGCTGCCCTCACCAGAAGCTTCTCCTGAGCAAACACTGCCAGCCTTGCTGAATTATGCGATGGTTATGACACAAACAAACATCCACCAGGAAACAGATATTAGACCAAACTTGCTTGCTCTTGCAATCTATCCATCTCTTCACCTGCAGCCTCAATAGGTCAAGACATTTACCCACTGCTTCACCTACTCCCTGGAAGAACTCAAACTCTGAAGCACCAAACCCAAGCTGGTAACATCCTATCATGCAATTAATGGAAGTATGTAACATGTGCATGCGCACACACACAAGCACACGCACACAGTTACAGTGTATGCATAAAGAAATTAATGGATCAGTGATACAATGATGGGAGTTATAGAAAGTCTTGTGACAGACTGATGAGATACACTATACTGTTGTTACGCACATTGGCTGAGCCACAGTTTCAGTTAACTAAAATTCTAAGAGGAGACATGTCTTTTCTTCTAGAAAAAAGAATAAAAATTCAGAGTGGTTCAGCTTGGCCACATCAATTAACCATTTGTCATTACCGGCACTGTGCGTAATTAGCATTTCAACAGTTTAAAAAGCAGCTGGGGGAATACCCGGTGTCTGCCCAAAAGCAAATTGCTATGCAGTAATTAGAGATTTTCCATATATTTATTCCCATTTGTTAGTCTTCTCTCCTTTTGATTCAAAAATCTTTGAAACATACACAAACAATAAAATTCCCCCGTAACACGATCATCAGTGATCTCAAATACAGTGACTTTATGTAAGGAAAAATCAAGATGTATCAGGGCCAAACCCAAAATTACTGAAGTTAATGAGAAATTTACAATCAGTCTCTAGGACAGAAGTTTTGGCCTTTTATTTGGGATCAGTATTTTGCAGTACATGCACAGTAAGTATTGCCCTGATTATCACCCTGATTAGAGTTATTAAGGGATTTTAAAACATGCAGATTTCATGCATAAATATAGCAGCTGAATTTCTCAGTTTAACAGGCTTCTCACCTGTACTTTCAATATATTAAGGGCACACTGACATAACTCAAGATATACTTGGTGCCTGAACTGGCATACATTATTTAGAGTTGATTTTAAATAGACAGAGAGAGTAATTGTATATTTAAGTTTTAAGAAGGAAAACCCTCTGCAGCTCAAAGACTCCTTCTCAAATTCAGAGTATGCAAAGTTCATGACAAGCCTCTGACCAATTCTGGGTGGCAGAAGTTGACATGCAACAGAGTTGCACTTCTCTTGGGAGGCCTTCTGAACAGGGGCATGTCCTGCAAGAACCACTGATCCAGCAAGACAAGCCTAGAAACAATTTTCAGCCCCAGTGATGATTTTGCCAATTCTGATGATTTTTAGTCCAGCCCAGGGGCACAAGCTGAATTTAGAATGAGTACTGCAACAAGACTTCTTTTTTTTGAGGGAATATTGAGTCTGCCAGAATTTTCCATAAAGCCCTACGATCTATGTTAGTGCATTTGCTGTCAAAGACAACAAAGATGAAAGAGTTAGTGTTAGGTTGCTTCTAAGCTGCTTTAGACTTACTAATTTTTAAAAAATTAAATTAGAATTTAGAGGAAACAAACCTATTGCACATATATCTGTATCATGGACTCACCTGCTCCCTTTCTACCCTCCTCTTTTCCTCCTCTGCTCTTCTTCTCTCTTCCTCCTCCTTACGTCGCCTCTCCATTTCTTCCAGACGTCTTTTTTCCTCCTGTTCTCTCCGCCTTTGCTCACGCTCTTGTTGCCTCCGAGCTTCCCTTTCTCTTCTTTGTTGCTACAAAAAGGGAAAAGAAACCACAAAGTTTTACTATTGTTGTTATCAAAGAAAGAGGTGGGGTTGCTTTCTATAGTGGAGCGAGGACTGGCAAGCTCTGCAACTGAGTGACAAAACATTTTATGCAAGTGTTCCACCAGGAAACTAACTCATAGCCAGCACACATCTATCTCTAAAAGCAGCCTCACATCCTCTCTCTGGTTTCTTCATGTACACACACAAAGTCACATACCATGTTCCTGACAACCGAGGTGTGGAAGTGCACTGCTCTCTTCAAGAGAGGCTAACACTGAAATCCCAATCTTTGAACAACTATTGAACTCAAATCTTAATCAGCGACAACTTCCTTGACATCAGTAAATTATCTACATGTTGCCAAAGTGAATTATCAGCCCTACTGAATCAGCTAACTCAAATGACAACTATCTGTACTTTCTGTAAGTAACTTCTCTCTTAAAATAGTTCATGGTCTGCTAAGAACTTGGTGGTGTTGGCCCAATGTCCAAGCTCAGTTTAATGGAGTGCCCAAACTTTGCCTAAGAGAGACGAAAGGCTGACCAACAACACCTCAGCCCCTCCCAGAACATCAAAAGCACCTATATGTAAAAGAGGAAAAACAGCTGAACTAAGCTTTTACATTTATACAGATAAGCTTCCACGTATGACCCAAATACAAACTGGTGCTGATAAGTCTGCTCAGGTCTGAAAATAACCTGGAAAATAGCTCTAGAAAGCATGAACTGATTCATTTATGTCTACAGAGCACTACATATGACTTCAGAGGAGACATTTTAAATGCCCATACAGTCGTGACCAACTCTTCATGCACTTCAGCAGAAGCATCCAGTTACTCCACCTACCTCAAAATCCCAGGCAGCCTCCCACAACTGCCTAAGTGTCAAAAGACCCAGCTGTCTCCTTTTCAACCATCAACTGGAAATATCTCTACATTTACTTCCATTATAGGTTTCTATAATATGCTAAAAACTACAGAAGAAATTTAAACCAAAAAATAGCATGCACAAATTTAATCCCAGAGACAAAAATGAAAACATATATTGGTTATTCCTTATCACATTTAGGTTAAGGTTAATACTATCACTAATTTCTGTTGAAGCAAAGCTGCCACAGATTTGCCAGCACTCCAAGCAGTCTTGCAAGAAAGAGCAGACTAAGTTTTTATTTGGGTTCACAAATCCAGTTGCTGATGTGCATTTCATCATTGTGCTCAACTGAACAAGCAAAGGTTAATCTACGTGTTACTTAATGGGATGAGTTTTCTCTGCTTGGCACGTTATCCTGCATTACTATGAAGTAAATGAAAAATCAACAGCTTTTCCACCTTCTGGAATCAATACTGACATGACAGTGGATAAGCTGGGGTTCTCTGACCTTTTCTTCAATGAGAAGTAGTGGATGTCCCATCCCTGGAAGCGTTCAAAGCCAGACTGGATGGGCCTTTCAGTGGTGGAAGGCATCCCTGCCCATGGCAGGGGGCTTGGAGGAGATGGTCTTTAAGGTCCCTCCCAACCCAAACCATTCTGTGAATTCATGAAGTAGAAACACTTAGTACAGGCTGCTTTCCAATTCTCTTTAATTAACTGAAGTTTGGGGAAAGATGCCACTTTCTTGAAGACCACTGTTCAAATACACCCACGCTGTAACTATGACGTCCTCCTTCCTGGCCCATAGCATCATCCTGGGTTCACTACCACCTTCCTGTGCCCCAAGACATAAGCTCTTTTCTCCCCCCTATTTTCAGTATCTTCTCAGAAACACAGCTTCCTTGCTCTTGCATCTCTTCTAACTAAATGCATTTACCAGCCTTTTTGCTTGTGCTTAAGCAAGCTCTCTTCAATGAAAGCAGATATAAAAATAGCAAAAGCGCTGCAAGGCAGCTACGGCATACAGTGCATTTCATAAGTTTCACTGCTTCCCCTCCCTCATTTTTTAAGCACTGTAAAAGGATTAAGTAAGCACTTTTATTTCTGAATATACACATCAGTGTCAAGCAATTTCTACATTTAAGTCAATATATTCAGGTGCTTCTTGGCTAATCAAGTCTGACAGGCTCTTTGTTTAAGAAAACTAAGATGTGAAGTACAATAATATTGTTGCCTTGAGGATGCAAGAGACAGCACACTGCTGGCTGGCTAATATAATATGCACATTTATCAACTCAAACAATATTGTGTTGACATTCTTAAGCAGATATATTGCAAATCTTGAGATGGCATCATTCTCACTACAAGGAAGATGGGCAAATTCATTACATCTTGAACTAATTCAGAATAATTATTGTAATTATTCAGCAATAATTACAAATAAATGAACTTACTGCGAGAAAAAAAAGTTACAGATTGATTAAGAGAGCTGTTTTCCCATGGCATCACAAAATAAACAAAATCAATTCTTAAAAGACGAGATTTTTAAGCAAACCTTGATCCAGGTATCTAGCTCAGTAGAACAGCAGATATTTATTACTCAGCAAAAAAAAAAGGGGGGAAAGAAGGATTCTCTGCCACCAGCGTACATTGAAGACAAATCTCCAAAGCATAAATGTGCTGTTGCCTGTGTGCCAAAGTACATGGAGAGATGTGGTTTCTCAGTCTCACTTCCACCTTCCCATCGGACACCGCCTCAGCCCATTGATGGGCGTGTGGGAAGGGAGGTACCTGGCACTGCAGGAGCCCACACAAACATCCTGCATGATCCCCTTATTCCCAAGATCTAGCTGGAAAAGAAAGATTTCATTTCCTTTGTATGTGGCCTCTGAAACCTCAGAATCAAACTACTGGCCACTAACAAAATGGAATTTACTTTTAACAAGCTTTTAACAAGGTAACCTACAGTGACAACCTTCTCTTGGGTCCTAGTCTACTTTTTGTCAAAGCGATGGCAAAGATGGTTGGTGGCAAGTTACACTGACCCAAGCTGGGTCCAGATCTTCTTTAATTGGATATGGTATTGCCAACTTTCTGGCAGACGTCAGATGAAAAGCTTATTTTCAAGGAACTAACTGTAGACCAGAAGGTAAGGGCAAGAACTCTTCAAAGAAATTTCAGACATGCCAAAACAGAATTTTGACAGAGCCCATACTGCCTCAAATTACTGCCTTTCACAAAATGGGCATTTACTATGCAAACAACATTAAAAAAAAAATCCAAAAAAAAACCAAAAAACACACATAGAAAACATTGTGTCAATACTCTGGCTTCTTGTCCGGTTCTAGGGTACAATAATGATGATCTCATAATGGAACCTGACATCTCCAAATTGGAAGTCCATGCAGTAGAGCATGATTTACCAGGAGGGGGCAATGCAACTACACCTGCAGTTGGTATATACCAACAAACTCAGGGTCTTCTTCATACAGTGAAATGATGAAGACAGATATAGATCCTCTAATTTAAAATTCATAAAATATTATTACTGTCTTATATTCAAAGATTGATAAATACATATATTAATTATTTATTTCACAAAGAATTAGGTAGTCTGGTATCAGCTTAAGAAGAGATTATTAAAGCGACTTTTGCTTTGTCCACACTAGAGATAAACCAGAAGCAGAACTTCTTACTCAGTACCAATCCAAGCTGCAAGCAACTCAAGTTAAGGAGATACAAATAATGTCCCCCTCTGAGAAAGACACAAAGCCCTGGCAAATATTGCCTGCAGGTACACCTACATTAGCACCTTGGTTCAGATCAGGAGGGCTCTTTTGAAATGAATCAGCCAATCATCTCCACTTATCTAGTTTTGTTTCATATTTTGAAGATGTCTTAGAGTGCCAACCACTCCTTTTGGAGGAAATTAAAAAGGCATATGCACTCCAACCACAAGCAGGCACACAGTCTAGACCTCAGCTAGTCCAAAGGAATTCCTCCAGTCTTTAAACACATGGAGTGAAATCTTCAGGTCCTCAGCATTTTAATTATTGTACTCCACAATCTGCTTCTACGGTACTGTACTACTTGCCAGTGCAGCTATAACCTACCTCTTCAAAAACATCCCTTAGGTTCTCATAGCCAGGGACAGAGGCACCATTTAGTGAAGTTATCCTGAACTGTGGAGGTCCACACAGAATGGGATTCCAGCACAGCCAATTCTGAATTTTCCAAACCAGACTCAGTTTTGCTAAGTACAAATTCAAACACCTTTTTGATAGCCAGCAGTTGTCTCCATGTTGCTGAACAGAAACACAGATATATACTTGATCAGCCAGAACAGCTCAGCTTTCTTGTTTGAACTATCTAAACACTTACTTACATAGTTCACAGAATCACAGAATATGCTGAGTTGGAACAGAACCACGAGCATCATCAAGTCCAACTCCTGGTCCTGCACAGGACTATCCCGAAGAGTCACACCATGTGCCTGAGAGTATCATCCAAACACTTCCTGAACTCTGTCAGGCTCGGTGCTGTGACCACTTCACTGGGGAGCCTGTTCCAGTGCCCAACCACCCTCTCAGTGAAAAACTTTTTTCTAATATCCAACCTAAACCTCCCCTGACACAACCCTTGGGTTCTGTCACTGGTCACCACAGAAAAGAGATCAGTGTCTGCCACTCTTCTTCCCCACATAAGGAAGTTGTAGACTGCAATGAGGTCTCCCTTCCATCTCCTCTTCTCCAGCATGAACAGACCAAGTGACCTCAGCCACTCCTCATACTGCTTCCCCTCGAGGCCCTTCACCATCTTCATTGCCCTCCTTGGGACCCTTTCTAATAGCTTTATATATTTCTTACATTGAAGTGTCCAAAACCGCACACAATATTCAAGGTGAGGTCGCCCCAGTGCAGAGCAGAGCTGGAGAATCACCTGCCTCAACCAGCTGGCAATGCTTTGCCTGATGTCCCCCAGGACACGGTTGGCCCTCCTGGCTGCCAGGGCACTGCTGACTTATATTCAACTTGCCATCGACCAGGACCCCCAGGTCCCTTTACATGGCACTGCTTTCCAGCGCCTCATTCCCCAGGCTGTATGTACATCCGGGGTTCCCTCATCCCAGGCGCAGAATCTGGCACTTTCCTTTGTTGAACTTTCATATGGTTGGTGATTGCCCAGTCCCCTAATTTGATGAGGTCTCTCTGCAGGGCCTCCCTGCCTTCGAGGGAGTCAACAGCTCCTCTGAGTTTCGTGTAATCTGCAAACTTGCTTAGTATCCTTTCCAGTCCTGTATCCCAGTCATTCATGAAGATGTTGAAGAGCACAGGGTTAAGATGGAGCCCTGTGGAACCCCAGGTCACCAGTCTGATGTTACCCCATTCACTATTACCCTCTGTGCTCCACCCATGAGCCAATTGCTCACCCACCACATGATGTGTTTATCCAGCTGTGTGCTGTACAGATTGTTCAGAAGGATCCTGTGAGAGACAGTATCAAAAGCTTTACTGAAATCCAAAAAGATTACATCAACTGGCTTCCCTTGATCAACTAAGTGGGTTACCTTGTCATAATAGGAAATCAGGTTTGATAAGCAGGACTTTCCTTGCATGAAGCCGTGCTGGCTGTGACCAGTGACTGCGTTGTTTTTCAGGTGTTTTTTGATACTTCCTAGAATAATCTTCTCCATAACTTTACCAGACACTGAAGTGAGACTAACAGGCCTGCAGTTTCCAGGGTCCTCCTTCTTGGCCGTTCTTGAAAATCGGGACAATGTTCGCCAGCTTCCAGTCAGCTGGGACCTGTCCAGATTCCCAAGACTGCTCAAAAATCATCTGGAGAGGTTTTGTGGTGACAACAGCCAGTTCTTTGAGGATTCTTGTGTGAATCCCATCAGACCCCATAGATTTGTAGGGATCCAGCTGGAGCAGCAGATCACACAATTTCAGGGTCAACTGGGAGCTGATCATTCCGGCAGTCATAGTCTTCCAGCTCACGGCACTGAGACCCCCTTGGTCCATTATCTGTGTTGAAGACAGAGGCAAAGAAAGCATTAAACACCTCTGCCTTGTCTCTGTCCCTGTTTGTGAGATGACCATCCTCATCCTGCAGCGGGCCAATGATATTTATATACAGTCTATTGCCATTAATGTATTTGAAAAAAATCCATTTATTGGCCCCCACATTTCTGGCCAGCTTCAACTCCAGTTCAGCTTTGGCTGCACGAGTTTTCTCCCTACAGCAGCGAGAAGCATCTCTGTGTTCTTCCCATGTCACTTCACCTTGCTTCCACTGGGCATAAACCTTCCTTTTTTACTTTATTTCCAGAGAATATCCCCGTTCAGTCAAGCCGGCCTTCTGCCTTGCCTGCTTGACTTGCAACATTTGGGAATTGCTGCTCCTGTGCCCTTAGGGGGTAAAGCGACCAGCACTGATGGACCCCAGCACCTGCAAAAACATTTTCCCAGGGGACTTTACTTACTAATTCCCTGAGCAGTCTGAAGTCTGCTCTCCTCATGCCCAGAGTTGAGGTGTTGTTGGCACTTGTCCTCCTGCCAACAGAGATTTTAAACTTAGTTGCTTCATAGTCACTGTGGCCACCAATCTCAACTTCGCTCACAAGAAACACTCTGTTGACAAGCAGCAGATCAAGTAGGGCATCTTTCCAAGTCGGCTCCCTTGGTATCTGTTCCATTCAGTTGTCATCCAGGTTTTTAGGAATCTTCTGGCCTGGGTTCTACCATCTGTGTGATGATCCCAGTTAACTTCTGGCAAGTTGAAGTCCCCCATAAGGACAAGGGCAGTTCACCTGGAAGTGCCCTTAGGTCCTCAAAGAATAATTTGTCAGTGTCCTGGCTGGGAGGCCTATAGCAGACTCCCACGATGACATCCGCATTTGTTTGCCCCTTGATTCTCACCCAGAGGCTCTCAACTGTGCCACTGCCAACTGTGAGCTCCATACATTCTAACCCTTCTATAACATACAGTGTCATCCCTCCGCTTCTTCTGCTCTGCATATCCCTCCTGAAGAGCCTGTAACTGTCCAGCAGGGCACTCCAGTCATAGGAGTCATCCCATCAGGTTTCACTTATGCCACTGATGTCAAATCTCTGGGACTGGGTCAAAACTTTGAGCTCCTCTTGTTTGTTCCTCATGTTGCATGCATTGGTGTAGAAACACTTCAGTTCATAGTCTTTATATGACTTTTAAAGGAAGGTTGAGTGTAGGACAAATAATACCCATCCCAAAATGTCTCAGGTTCTTTCCTATACTTTGACCACATATCATTTTCACCTTCTCAGGAACACACAAATTATAAGGTTCCTGCAACAACAAGTTTTAGAAGTCACCTATATGCCTTTTAAAAAGTAATCTTTTCTCTAATACTGCTGAGAATTACAGTTTTGGCAGATGTCCTAAACACTGTTCCTGTTACAGTCTCGGTCAAAACTGTCTAGGCTCTGTGCCAGCATTGTAAGAACAATTTTAATATAGAAAGCAGAGGGGGGGGGAAGTATATGCAACTTGTCCAAGAAGATTATCTAATACATAAAATTCTAACAAAGAATATTAACTGGGTATATGCAAACATAAACTTACTTTACACAAGAAAAAATTACAAGAAAGCAAGGCTTGGTAAAAATATCAGCAAAGCTATGGAAGCCCTGAGATTCAACGCCTGACACTAATCTTAACTCCCATTACCAAGCTCTTCATTGTTTACTGGCTTCATCAAAACAAGGGGAGTGAGTTAAGGACAAAGTGACAACATTCCAATATTTTGGCCTTCAATTGTGTCACAACACTGATGTTTATCTAAATATATGTCTACCACCCTTCCCCCATATGAAAGAGCTTGTTTTGGCTGCTATTTTGTTAAAAATCACTTGGGATTACACATTTTTCCAACACAAGATCCAACAAACTAAATGTTTTTTTTTGTGAAAGCTAAATGTGAGGCGTTTTTTTTTAATTCACTTTAAGAACAGTATGCCCACCCCTTCACCTGCAAAAGGAAACCTTTATAACTCATCATTCATATTTATGCCTCCAGGGGAACCAGGCAGAGGTTACAGATCAATACGAGGTAAAAAACTTCTATCTTAAAAATTTTACACGGTTTATTGCGCAACCTTATTCAGTTACATGCTGTCTTGTGGATGTGGAAGCTGTCAGTTTTGTTTTGTATTTTAAAAAGCAGGACTGATTAAATACAACTTTCAGGTAACTGTCTTTTCTTTTTAGTTGCTCATTAAATTATGATATCTGCAACTTCCCCAAAAAGTTCAGCCCATGCAAGGAAAACGGTGCACTGCTTTGTTTCCACTACTAGCAGCAGCATCTCCTTTATTTTAAGAAGAAAATCCAGATTTTAAGAGTTGCACTCGTTACTAAAGTTAAATGACCTAGATAATTTAATTGTAATCCTCTTCTTCAACAAAAAAATACTGCCTGCAGAACTTAGAGATTAAAGTGGCATTTAAGAGAAACCATTGACTCCCACACTAAGAAAAATTATAGAGGCTAAACAGTATCTCAACTTTTGCCCACCTTTGTCAATATCAATATTTTATTTTCATATCTTTCTAGTGTCTTTTTTTATTAGTTGCTCCCCCCACAAAATTGCTACAGAGTCTAAAAACACTTGGAAGTGCCACGATGTTTATCTTGGCATTCTTAGAAGGGTGGGGAAGAAACAGAAGAGAAATGGAGTTTATATGCCTTCCCCTTGTCCCTCCTCCTGGATTCATGTGTGGCTGAATTTTAGCTACCAATCTCTCCTTACAGCAGCACTAAACTCATTTGCACACTGAAAAAGAGGGATAAGGAGCATAATGTGACCTGGAAAGCTATTTGGAACTTTGTATTATTTGTTATGCAAACACATCATGGGATGCAAATCAACATTTGGTCCTGGTTGCGTCCTCATTAAACATTACCAGAATTTGGAAAACCAGACTGGGTGTAGTTTTTCCATCATTGCTAAGTGAATGGTTGAAACAGAGACGCAAGCAAGAGGTCATTTAAGGACGACTGGAATTTGACCCTGTACTTCCTGAAGAGCCAGAAGATTGGTTTCACTTCAGCTCTGTGTCATACCCAGCTCTGCCCTGAAGAGCTGTTTTGAAATCCTCCTACCTCTGAAGCTCACACTGCATATTCCATCTACATACATATATATAAATGCACATGAGATCTTAGGAGGTGAAAAGTATGACAGAACAATATTGAACATGTATATTCATTTTATCTTCCAGTAGTATATAGAAATTGCCTCCTTATTGTATCACAAAAAGATGGTTTACGTATTTGTAATTCTTGCAGAATTATAATTTTAACACTGATTTATAAAACATATTTATAGATGTACCTTTAAAGGCCCCTTCCAATCCAAGTCATTCTATGATTCTATGATCTAGGTGGCTTTTAGTCATTAAGCTAATACACATGAGAGAGTAATACATTAAAAAATAGGCTTCTACCTACCAAGAATAAATGCCAAACAAATGTCTGAGAAAGCTTTAAAGGGAAATTTGAGACATGTTATGCCCCCCCCCCAATCCCCAGAAATACTCTTGAGAAAAAAATTCACCTGGGAATAATTAATGTCTCCTGTTCTCTACAGCTACCTAAAGTCTAAGAGACCAAGACACAACCTTCCCACAAAAAACACCTTTCAAACAACCCAGCTATGGCTCTTGTTGCCTTCATTGGAGCTGCTGGATATTCAAATGCTTGGGAAGACAGCTTATATTCAAGTAGCCAGTGATGGTTTTAAGTGCTTTGCTCTGCGTTTGCAGTTGGATTTTCACATGCTGCTTTCTTTCCTCAAAAGGTGCTGGGGCTTTTTAAATGGGCGCAGAAACGGTAAACACAAGTGGAAGAAGGGCTTCTGCCCCACAGACTCCAGTCTCCTGTTTCTACCTCTTCTAGCCGCCTCCTTTGCTCCTTCTGCTGCTCGATGCGCTTCTGCCTCTCTGCCAGCAGCTGCCTCTTGTACTCCTCCTGCTCACGGAGCTGCTGCTCCTGCAGTAGCTGCTGTCTCCGAAGGGCCTCGGACCGTTCCTTGTTTTCCTGCTGCAATCTCAGGAAATCACGTCGGAGGGTTGATTCTCCAGGCACATTGACAATGGAACTGCAACAAGAGGAAGTTAAAGCCTCCTGTACAAAAAAGCCTGATGAGCCATTACCTACCTTTTCCAAAGCAGGAAATTTTTATTAAAATATTTATTAAAATATATCATGATGTTAAAGTTTTATCTTGTTTCTTTCAAAGCAAAGACACTGGGTGCGTGTTAAATACACGCTCTCAGTGGAAGGTGTGAAATGAGGCCAAGCAAAATAAGGACCAATGCTGTTATTGTGGAGACCCTGATCAATCGTATTTGCCATAAATCTCCCTCCATCCAGAGCTTGTTGGCTCTAAGCCATAGGAGGGGGAGCTTTAAAGCCTTTATCACTCACAGCATAGGTATTCAAACTTTTTGGGTGGTTTGTGTGGCTTGTGCATTCACTTAATAAGAGAGAAATTTAGCTTGCTCCTGATTTATAATCACAGACCTTTAGACTTACTTGGCATGGACTGCCCTGAGCCATCCCAAAAGCAATTATTACCTTGGCTCTCCTTCTTGTTCAGGCACTTCCTCCTCTTCTTCCTCACTTCCACTATATTCATACTCCGTCTCGTCTAACAGGAAAGAAACAAAGGCCTAGATAGTACTTATCTTTAATTTTAGGACAGTGGAGGGTTGCAGTAGCACCTCAGTGAACCATTTCCCGTCCCCTTCAGTGAAAAGATCTATCACAGACCCTAGAACTCATTCTATATATACAATCCCATCTTCCCAGACTTGTAAAGGAGCACAGAAGACTTCCAGCAAGCTCCCTGAATGATACCAGGTTTTATATGTAAGACAAGACAACTCATCAACACCTGAATAAAGAGAAAAGGCTACCCCAAACACTCGCTTCATAGTTCTTGTGATGGGTTATTTCATGCAAGTCTGATTTATGGCATCGTTTCAGGAAATGAAACAACTGCAGATCAAAAATGGGGAATGCATATATGCCAATATCCTCCTAAATACCATTTAACACTTGTATGGAAGAAGCAGTGGCCCAGAAGTGAGTAAACTCAATGAATTGGAAAATACAGCACTTGAAATTGATACTTTCTCTGTAAAGGACAGAACGACACATAGAAGCCTGCTGATAGTCAAATTATGAATTAAAAAAGAACCTTTTAAGGACTTGGGTTGTTTGGAGTTTTTCTAGGGGTGGGGATTTAGAATGCAAAGTAGGACAAAAATATGTATTTTTGACAACCTGAAATACTTGATTTTTATAAGCTGCATACCTTTCTCTCCTCTCTTCTTTCTGGTCCTGTCTATATGATCCTTAAGCTGGATTCGGACTTGCCTTTCATTTGGTTGGTCACGTATAAAGGGATGTTTCAACAGTTGTTCTGTAGAAGGTCGTTGCATGTAATTCTTCACTAGACAACCTTCTATAAAGCTGAAAAACTTTTTTGACCTGAGAAAGCAGGAAGGAAAAAACAAAACAAAACAAGGTGACAGGTAAAACTCAACTGAAACATTTTTTATGTTCTTCTTCGAAGTCTAATTCCTTTCCTCAGAGAGCATCACATCTCAGAGGACAGTACAAGTGCTGCCTGCAAGTGTACCTCCTAAACAAAGCTGAGTGTGTTCCAGCTAAGCTGAGCATGATTGGCACAGGGCTGCAGGCACACAGGGTAACATGAACATACCTGCAGTGCTTAGGCACAGCCTCACAGTAATGTGCCCTCTTTCACAGGCATAATTACTCTGAAAGTCAGGATCTATTAGCGAAGGTAAATCATTCAAACCCAGCTCTGCTACTTCTTGATCAGAACTGGATAGAATCCAGCTTGCTTGGAGCAGAGGCAGGGCAGCTCTGGTATGCCTTCATCTGCCCATGCTATCAAAGGGAATGTCTGCTACAGACATCCATACCAGAAGTCAGAGGAACTGTGTCTGCCACTACCAACACACGCAGCACCTTGCTGCTTTTGTATGCACCTGGGCTCACCTAGTTAGATCTGCTAGAATTTAAGATTATTTTATTTTTTACCTGAAGAGTCACACAAAAAAATTCTTATAGAACAACAGGTGGGTGTTGATCAGAGTTGTCTGTTCATGGAACTGGGGTCAAATTCTCTCTGACACAATTTAAGGGTGTGAACTGCATACAGCATAGTGACAGGGTACAGGAGTTAGCTAAGCTGCAGCACCCCCTTCCTAAATTTGCATTTCATTTGAACTCTCAAAAGAAGACGTCTCCACTAAGAAGTCACCAACAAGCCATCTTACAGAATGACAATACTGGAAATATTCAAAACTGGAGTGAGGCACTGGAACAGGCTGCCCAGAGAAGCTGTGGATGCCCCATCCCTGGAAGCGTTCAAGGCCAGATTGGATGTGGTCCTGAGCTACCTGAACTAGTGGGTGGCATCCCTGTCAATGGCAGGGTTTGGACCTAGATGATCTTTAACGTCACTTCCAACCCAAGCCATTCTATGAAGTTTCTACGATTTTTTCATCACTTGGCCCATTTTCTCATAACCTGCCCCTGAGCACACTATTAAAACAGCTGAGTCACAGCAGCACTGGCTTTGATCAGAGTCACTTTGTAATTGGTAGATGTTCTCAACCTGCTCCAGTGCTTGGAGAGCAAACATCTCCACTACATGGTTAAGTGTAAAAACAATGGTTTCCATCCATCAGTTCACTTTCCTACTGTAATCAAAAAGGCTGAATTCAAGGTTACTTGGTTGTTTAGATTTTTTATTCCTCACGCCTTAAGTGTTATTATTTTACATAAAAAGGTTAATGAAAGGCTTATGCAAATACTGTATACGCATCTCTATTCCTTTAATATATGTAGAAGGGAAGTATGAGAGGGAGCACGCCTTAACAATACAAGTGCATAAATAAGTCAATCCAGGTAAAGACCAAGCCCAGCAAGCAAGCCAAGTTTATATTATGCTGATATTGAACTGGCAGTCAAACCACTTTATTATTTTGACAGGATCACAGCATCCTGTGATCACATTCAATCTATAAGAAACCTCTTTCTAGGGAGTATTTTTTTTTCATATGTGCCAATTGTAACCAGTAATGGGGAGGAAATCCTCCGATACTAATGGATTCTGCTCAGCTGGCAAGAAGCATGCACTCAATTCCAACCGTTTACAATAATTATAGTAAAAGCCTTCACTAGTTTTAATAGCTCCTTTCTATTTAGCAACTAGAGCGCTATAGTACTGTTCTGTTTCTGTGTTATGATACATCTGAGAAAACATACTGCATATTAAGAGTGCTGCAGGAGTTTATTTTTTAAAATATCAATTTGTCACCTTAATACAGATTCTGCTCTGTCAAGGAGCAATTTTCACACAATAAAATTTCACAGATAAAATTTCTCTGAGACAAACAGAACTAAACAACGCATGAATTTTATTTCATGCTTTGGTTCAGGGGCACAAAAGATAACAGAGTGATTTTTGCTAACTTAAACTGCTTTATAGTTCTGCGGAAGCGGTCACAAAAGTGTACGTGACACAAGAAAACATCATGCTACAAAATGCTTCAAGCAAGATATAACTAATACATACCATTTCTTGGATTTTAACCGTGGTGGGGGGTTCCTGGGTATCAGAAAGAGAGCCCTCATGGGATGCATGTCACAAAGTGCTGAAGGGAAGAAAACAAAACCAAACAGAGACATACAGACAATGGTTTAGTTGCTCTCTATCAATACCATGACTTCAGTTTCCACAATCATTTCCACCATCCCAAACATACATACAGCAGGTGCAGACAGCAACACAGCTAAATGGAATTAGCCCAAAATTACAACAGTTCCACAGCTCAGTGTGCCAAGCGTAGCCCAAAAAAGAGAAAGAGATAGAAGCACAGATTAACCTTCAGAATTAACCATGATGGGAACATCTGAGCATGGCCCTCCTCTAGCCACAAGTCATCTAACTTTTTTATTGACTTTCCAGTCAATAAAACATTGGGAGGTGATGATGGCAGAAGGGAAGAATGACAGTTACTGTTTCATAAAATCTTCCCTCCACCTGCCCTTTGCTTCCATTATGGAGGATGCCTCATTTCTACTCTCCAGACTTAGGTATTTTCTTTACTTCACGGCATGAAAGTTTTGAAGCACAGGAGGGTCTGTATCACAAAAAAGGATTCCCTGCAGAACTGAAATGCAAGCCCATAACTTTTGTTGAAAGAAATTCTGTTGCTTTCAGTGGACATTTAGTGGGAGCCCAGGAATTCTTCCCAACAGCCTTTCCTCCTGTCCCATAAGCAAAGCAACACAGGAAAATGAGGGAGCAGGGAGAGAGGCTGCCCAAGAAAGGTCACTAGGAGCAAATCTTCTCTTTTAACCATCTTCCTATGTTTGACCTCTTGCACCCTCAGTCTCAGCCTGAGTGATCACTGCAGGAAGAGGTGACATTTTTCACACAACGGAAATTCAGGAGAAACAGATTGATGTAAAGTGAATTCTGGATTCAAAAATAAGGGGCCACAATCTTGACAAAGAAGCCCCTTGGATGTCTGGCAATCCCAGCAGAGCATCAACCTTAAAGATGGACTCTTCAGCTGCCACTGGAGGAGGAGGAGGTAGAGCCCACACGCCAGAGGACAAGAGCTGTTCAGCATTTACATTGGATCTTTGCTTACTTCTGAAATGACCCTCTTGTGCGTTTACACAAAGAGGGGTCAAGCTCTGCTTAGGTTTGGAAATGAAAAAAAATTGTTGTCCAATTCTAGGCTTACAAAGCCCACAGACACAGCTTTTAATTGAAAGCCATCCACGCAACCCAATGCAATGAACAAAAAAGTATGGCAAAAAGGAGGTCATGGGGTAGCTCAAACACTTCATACAGCACTGGCTGAGGTGTCCTGGGAGCAGCTCTCACATGGGCATTCATGCAAATGTGCATGAATTAGGAAGGGAAAAAAGAAACCCAAAACCAACCATCAGACTTCCTAAAACATGAATCAACACAAGAGCATTGTAATTTGATTTATAAATCTTACATTAAAGTCAACAACAACAATCAGACAGCAGCTATAATGAAATTACCATTTTTTGCCGAGAAATATCAATACTTTATTTCAACATGATTATTTCAAAGACAGATGTTTCCAGCTGGGCTCTGGTGTGGTGGTAGTTTTTTATGTGTAAGAAAAAATTAACTTACTCTTAAGTACCTTAGGTTATTATTTTTTAAATACAGAGCTCCAATTGAGGGTGAGGGTAAGTATATGTGTAAGTTCAATACAGACTTTCATAAAAATTATCATTAAAAGCCAAAACATCATGCCTAACTTCTTTTCTTTTCAAATGTTTCTGTCCTCACATATATCTGCTGCCTTGATACTCCAAAAGAACTATGTGAAAGGAAAAGAACCTATTAGAAAGTTGTGCATTTTTGGTTTCTGATTCCCCTCTCAAAAAATATCCATATGAACTGACAATGATCCCTGCTTGAGGATACTTAAGTTCAATGCTTCATGTTGAAGATGGATTTACAATTTAAGTCATGTCACTGCTAAGGAAGAACAACACCACCCACTGACGAGTGGAAACAAAAAGAGAAGCAATGTTAGCATTATCCAGACCAACACAAAGCCAACACAGAAAGAATTGCTACAGATGTGCTTTTCATTAAAGTCTGTTTCCTCAAGGCCCCACTGACCCTCTTCCCCAGCTGAGGTTTCAGTATTCCAGGCCAGGCCATAGACAAATTGAGACACAACTCCAAAACACAATATTCTACCCATAGGAAGGAAGTCAGACACTCGATTAGCTTCCAAAAATTCCTACTATAGAAATTAAATTACTGCAGTCTGCACTGTAGTGCTTAAATACAATCCTATCTTTATCAAAAGCATTGCTATTTACAGGATTTTATATTTATAGAGCAAGCAAAACCAAAGAGAACAGAAATAACATGAGGATACTTTCAGAAACCTCAAAACTAGGCTTAGATTACAACCAGCATCGCCCAAGTATATGTCTCAGTCTTAATCAGCCCCCTGGAGAAGCACACATTTCACTTACGGGGAGCTCCTTCTGCCATCTCTATGGCCGTAATGCCGCATGACCAAAGGTCACTCTGCATAAAAAGAGAAAGACCATATGTTAGTAGGTGGATTTGCCCATTCAGACAGTAAGAGAGTACTATTTAGAGAGGCCCTGTAGGTGAGGCTGAAACCAAATACCATGGCTATTTAAATAATACAAGTTACTTTTTTCTTGTAACAGTATAATAAAATCCTACTTTTCACATAATTCCTATGTATATGCAGAAACACAAGCACCTATTCTAACAGAGTGAGCAAACAACCCTTTCTAATAACACATAAAAATATATTCACATTATGACAATGGAAAATACATTTGCCAGAAATCTAAGCCTATGAAACAACAGTTTCCAACACTCCCTTATTTAAAAAGGACTGAACAAAGGTATTGCCAGGGTGTGTAGAGATGCAGTTATAAAAACAAAAGCTTAGCTCAAATTTAAAGTGGCCAGAGATATTAAAAACTACAAGAAAGGGTTCTTCAGGTACGTAAACAACAAGCAGGAACAGAAGGAAAATACTGGCCTGTGTTAAACAGGAGAGGTGAATTAGTCACCAACACTACTGAAAAGGCAGAGGTTCACAACATTTACTTCACCTCTGTCTGTACCAAAGACATTGTTTGCAGCCAAAGGCAACACTACCCCCCCTACCATCTTAGCTTTACAGAACAAGAGTCCTTCAGCAGGAGTCTTTCAAGGTACCACCTCTGGCCAGCACCTCTGACTAGGGAGAGCCTGAACAAGAGCCAGGAAGGTCAAACACAGGCAAAAGATGGAAGATTCTGGCAAGGAACCAGCTCCAGAGACTGACACGGCTTAACAGGCAAAGTGCTGGAGGAGGCTGCTGTGAAAGAGAGCTGTTCTTGAGCAAAGTAGTTGTCCTGTCTGGTCATAATAGTGTTGTGTTTATTTTAAATTACTTAAAAGTAATGAGTAAATAAGCTCTTCATGTACTACAAGCAGAAAAGCATTTCCAACAATCGTATTTTCAGACACAGCAAGGCAATCTTTTCTCTTGGTCCAATTCAGCCATTTAAGCTAAACTGCACAACCTCACGACCTTACAGAATCTTTCAAACATGAACTTTTTGGGAGAGAGTGCCTTGTAGGCTCCACCAGTAACAATCAACAGGTGTTTTCAGAGGCAGAAGGATTTGCTTTTCACATCGCTATTGCATTACAAATATTACAGGGAGTTTTTCTATTTTATTAGATAATTTAATAGCAAACCTTTCTTACTAATAACTCCACCTGCAAAGATATAAAGCATTATCTTTAGTACAGTGGGATGATGGATGTAAAAAACAATTAAATCACGAGAAATAGGATCAATCTGATCAATCTTAGTCAAAAACACTGATTCAAATAATCTGGGTTTTTAAACAGATTTAGACATACACAAACATACTGATAGCTAACAACATTATCGGTCTGAGCAAACTGATATAATTAATTTATATAATTGATATTCATCTCTAGGACATTAATCCCTGGCTTTCTGATATTCTTGTTGCCCTTGGTTAAAATTTGGAACACTGCATTAGTCCAAGTAAATATTTCTAGAAAAGCACATTTTCACATTTTTTTCTTTCTTTGTGCTCTCACTAAAGTCAGCTGAGAACAACTTTTGAGATTACAGTATGCTTTCACTAGAAAAATTTAACTTTAAATACATATACTTCATATTCTTAAGGGTAGTGCAAATACCATCAAGACAATTACAGTTTTGCAGTAATTAAATCTTTGGTTTGCACCAAACAATGTAAACAATGATCTTTGTTAAGAAATGTTGTGATGGATAAATTTTTATCAACTTGTATATGTATCCTGAAAGCACTAATCGTTTTAAGAGCTCCTTCTGTACTTCACTGGCTCTCCAGACGGTGGTTCTATTTAAGGCAACACCTAAAATGTATTGTTCTGGGTTACTACAATAACTGGGACGGAGTCTAACACAATTTAATGTACAACCATTACACAAATTGAGAACACAAGCATTTCCAGTTAAACTCTTTTTTGCCTTCTCTAAGCACATACAGCACCCTGAAGTCCTATATTCCTTATGTCTCAAAGCTACGATAATACAAACAACAGCAATTGTTAAAGGTCACAATTTGACAGTATCCATACAAAGCATAAGAAGTCTCAAAAACTGTCATCATTTATGGACATTTATACTGCAAGTGCTTGTTTTGGTTTTTTTCTTTGAACAGGACTCTCTTACTCTATAATCATACGTAGCATCTGGATTTTCATCACAGGCAATAACTTCTGGAGCCATCCAGTACGGAGTCCCAATAAAAGTGTTTCTCCTGCCAACTGTCCTGTCCAGCTGAGCACTCACACCAAAATCCACTGTGGGTGAGAAAAGAATAAAATAAAATAAGAGGGGAAAAATAATGCAGTGATTACTTTCATAAAGTGATTTGGAAACAAAACCCTGTAGATGTTCCATGTAGGAGGACCATGCTGAGGAAAAATACAATGATTAATCCTGAGGCAAATAAGCCCTTGTGGTTCACGCACAATGTGCTTGGGCCACAAGTGTCAGGGAACACAGCAGCATACAACCATCTCTCCTGTACCTCTCACTGGTCTGCCTGGACAGAAGGGAGAGCACAGCTGCAAAAATACTGCTTGGGAGGCTGAGAAAGCACTGTTCCCTTCCCACACGGTGAAGCCAAGCACCTTTGCCCATACAGAAAGAGCCACTTCCCAAAGGTACCTCTCATGCCATGGGAAAACTGTATTCATAAACACCTTTCTGAACCTCCTTTTGGGCTCACCACTTTTTCTACTCTAAAAAAAATAATCTGTTGTTCAGGGAATTGGTCTCTGCTTTGACGACAGAGCAGAAGCATCAGTGGGAGCAAAAGATGAGGATTGCTCAAGGAGCGCTAACTTTGAGCACACATGCACACACGTTGTGAAAAAGATGCCCATTTCATTACAAGGCAATTATGTTACAAGGGGGTTTTCCGCCCTTCAGTTCTCCCTGCTGACAACCACTGCTATATGTCTTTCTATACCAGTAGCAGCCTGTGTCAGCTTCACTGCATCCATCATCTGAGTGACACTGACAAACTGGTGTAGACAAGCTCAGTGGGAGCAATGGTTTGGAAGCTACTGTGCTCCATTTTGGACCAAACAAAGGAAAGCTCTCCCGAGAGCTTCCTCCTCCAGCAGCCGGGACATCTTCCCATGCCTTGTGCTGCAGGAAGGTGTAATGCAAAACAGAAGGGATGTGGGCTGGGTGGGAGGGCTTCAGCATGGCTCTATATTTAACGAAAAAAAGGTGGTGAGTGTAGCGTGATACAAACACAGAAGGTTAACATGTGCAGTAACTGAAAGAGACAAATTAGAGAGGAAGAAAAAAAGAGTATGTCCACTTGGCAGGGAGAGAAGAGGCCAGGGATGAGCACAGTTTTCAGCAGGCATGCCAGAGCTGGAACTGTGTTTTGAACTCAATGCTACAGCTCCCTTAAGAGTGCTGTCCAGATCATATTTTTGTGTCCAGAACGTGAACAGCAGGTGCTATTTTAATTAAAGCCAAATACAAGAGAGACTCTTGTCACTTCCCAAGTCCAGAATAAAGGGAATTAGAACAAACTCAAGCTCAGCAGGGTAAACAAAATGATCCCATCACTGATTCTCTGGCATGAAAGCCAACATCTTCTGACAAAATTCAACAACAACCTGCTTCATCCTCCCAAAGCAAGAGGAAATATATGCAGGCTGTCAATCCACAGGGAAGCAGTTACGGAGTATTCATGCTAGAAAACATGTTGTGGGGCTCTTAAATGATGAAATTAATTTCAGAACATCATAAAGCCAAAGGCTGAATGAATGAGGAAGTGGACATGTATGCCTACTTACCAAGTTTCACTTCTGCGTTCTCTGTTAACAGCACATTTTGCCCTTTGATATCCCTGTGAATCACATGATGGGCATGAAGATGTGCCAACCCCTGCATTAGGGAGAAGAGAGGAAGGAGAGGATGTTCAGAGTTAGGCTCTTGGCTTAGCAACAGATTACCCATACCCAGCATCCCCAGAGTTCACAGCACTGGGTCTTGTGCTCTTGCTCAGCAACTGGGTGCAATGGGACCCACAGAAGCCTTGTAGCAGCACACCACCCACACAGCGTTTGGTAATGGAGCAGAGACAAAGGCCCCAGGTTATGCACACACTGTACATAAATACAGCCCAACATCTGCACTGTGCAAACACCTCTCCGCTGTCCTGTGAAAGAAGTTCAGCTCCCAGAAAGTATCCATGCACTTACACTGTAAATGACATCAGCATCAGTGCACATCACTGACATCTGACATGCACAGGGTCACACAGAATTTAGTCTGGGGAAGGGAGGTGGAAAGAAAAAGGATGCAGCATCAATATGCATATATGCACCCCTGAGAAGGAGTGGGCAGTCATGTTTGAGGGCAAGGGATGACAGATAACAAAGAAATGCTCTGCTGCAAAGCTGCAGTTCTCTTCTCTAGCCTCCATACACATGAAGCCAGATAATTCTTCCTCAGGAAAAAAAAATGCAAAAGAAAAGAAGAGGAAAAAAATTTAAAAAAGCATAAGCGTTATACTTTCCAAAGGAAACAAAACCTCCTGGCATACGGTGCTTTTTGTTGAGACAGCACCTGGATGCATGCCCCAAAGTGTTAGCCATGTGGAGGGAGGGCTGAGAAAGACATATGTTGCATTTTACTCTCTAATGTAATTGGGAGAACACGCAACTCTCTTAGCAACTGCCTGTATTTTGGTTTCTCCTCAGTTTTCTGCTTGGAAAATTGTAGTCTCCAGTGGGATTGTCTTGCCTATTCTTGTTGCTCTCACAGGCTTTTAGTTTTTTATGAAAAATAAAGAAATAGAACCTTTACAGCTGCAAGAGTTTAAGAGAGTAGTAGTTGCTGTAGAGAAGTATTTCCTAACACATGTTCTTCATTAAATGATCATTTACCAGTTTCCCTACATAACCATTGGGCTATTTTCTTTTTTTAAAACAATTAATGAGTGTGACAAAAAACCCACCACCCACAACTTCTCTCCACACATCATAAGCAAATCAAGGGGGTTGATGTCCCCAAGACCCTTCACTGACTGCTAATGCTAAGTGTGGTCTTATTTTTCACAGGAATGAAGGCTTTTCCACAGCTTCACACAGGATACTTTTTAAAGCCTTCTGCTACTCTGACCCAGCCAAAGAGATAATCGTCTGTTCTCTCCAGAGTACCATCTAACCTTACTGAAAAAACACATTTGGGTTTGCAAAGGGCTGGGAGGAGACAGAGGGGCACATCATTTTCCTGCAGTCCTCAGACTCCTCCAACCACACGAGGATCCACTGGGTTGATCTTCACACCTCTGTCTCCACCTAAACCAATCTTTGGCCCTTTAGCTCATTTTAACTTTGTGTTACACAACCTCCTCCATCTCTGACAAACTCTGTGTCAAATCAGGTTTTGCAATGTCTCAGCAATGTTAGCTTAGCATTCCTTTTTTTCCAGATATTCCAGTTCCCGCTGGTCAGAAATTAAGGCTCCTTCTGCAAGTCTTTCCCTGGAATGAGAAAATAGCTTTCCCTAACTCTTTTCTGAGGTAAATAAATTTTTTTCCTCTTCTCAGCAAGTGCTTGACTGCTTTACCTAAGGAGAACCTAGAATGAATCCAACATAGCATGGAATACCTCCAAGGCCACACAGCTCTCAAATCAAGCATACGATCAGTCCTGCAGAAGTTAGCTTTCCTCATATTAAAGCGTGCTATCCATTTGATTTGAAATACAACTTCTCCCTTGTAGACAACCTAAAATGTGCCAGCCCAAACGCCAGTAGTTGGACTCTCCTCTAGCATTTGGAATTAGAGCAAGAGACCAGAATCATATGTCTCCCTTCATCCCCATCTTAAAAATTGCGGAGACAGAGCAAACATATAACACAGACAACAGCAGCATTGATTTATGCAAGAGCCAGTGTTGGTTTCCTTTAACATAAAGCCCTTCAGAACTTCATTTACGATTAGGCAATTGAACGTACTGTGTAGTGGTATGGGTAGGAGGCAATTTGTTTTACAAAGAAGCACGAGAAAACCATACCAGATTCACTTAGTGCAGCAAACAAATCCCAATTCAAAAAGCACTTAAACTGTACCAACTGAAAATTAAATATTAAGAGTAACTAGTTAAAGTTTCAATTTTTGAAAGAAATGGCTAAGTTGCAGCCCTATTCCTGAAAAACTTTTGCAGCGCCATCTGCTAGCACCGCACAGCCACACATGATATAGCTGCTTGCTCTAGACAGACTGCAGGAATATACAATATGAGAGCACATCACAGCACAGAAGTCCTGACTGCTGGCCTGAGCCAACAACTCCCTTCCTCCACAGGTTTGATTAGGAGCAGAGAAAGACAGCCGCAAGCACATTTGGAAAAGTCCATTCCATACCCTACTGTGCTACAACACGGTTTCAGCCTCAGGTCTTGTGGACACTTTCATAGCTTCTACAATAAGTAAGGTCACTGGCTCTTCTGCTGGCTTCTCATGACTAAAAATTGCTATTTTCTGCAAGGTTGCTGTTACAATATACAGTACAACTCACACCCAGTTAAATAATATGGAGCAGACATCTATCTGCTTCTACACACTCTTCAAGTGATGACATGGCTAATGGGATTGATCAGAAACAGCTTCTTGCAGAACCTCAAGCTAGGCTATGTCTTTTAAGACTGTTTCTGTGTGGAACAGACTATTTTCCTTACTCGGAGAATCTCTCTGGAGATATATGCTATCCAGTCTTCTTTCAGAGTATTCCCTTTCGTGTTCTTCACAAGGTCTGTGATAGAGCCTGCTCCACAAAACTCCATAACAAGCTGAAAAACAAATATCAGTGTACAACCAACATTAAACACAGTTCTCAGCTGTTTAGCAAAGCAAAATAATCAGGTTGCAGCATTGATTTGGGAAACCCTTGTGAAGCAGAGAATAGAATTTATTTTACATATCTGCCTGGAAATTGGATTCAAGCAAATGTCTTCAATGTGTGTCAGACATATATGGAATATGTCTCATATCAGTTACCACATTTTCAAGGACTGATTTAATCACTGTAATTTAATGCTGGGAATCTGGATTTGCTCAGCTACACAAAATGCATTAGCAGTAGGAGCACATCCAACGCTGAAGGAATCAAACTGATCACACCATTGCAACACATCTTATCCTTTAACTCCCATTTATTTATGGAAAAACATGCACTGATGACTATATCCTGCCATTTCAAACCCAAACTTCAGTCCTCTAGAGGGTGTAGATGAGGTGGGATGGGAAATGTAATAGGTACGATTCTCAAGTGGACCTTTCTTTTTACAGTCACATATTCTTACTGCTCAGCTCAGCTGTCTTGTTCCCAAGAAACATGCTACTATCCATCAGGGAAGTGGGGAAAAAAGTTACTTTAAGAACAAATCCACTGCTTATAGCAAGCGCTGGTTCAGCCATCCTCTTAAGAATGTGTGATTAGCCTATGTGATTCACTTATCTACCTGTTCAGGCAAGCACCAAATTCTATTAGTTTGTCTTTCCATAATGTGGTATTCCTGTCATCCTCAAACTACATCCAATAAGGAAAGACTTATGAACATATTTGAGAAATATCTGCTTACCCACAGTTGGTCATCATGTCCTGGAGGACTTTTCTTAATGAAAGCACCATAATAAGTTGCAATATTTCTATGATGAGAATATTTCTTTAGCATATTAATCTCCAGTTTGATTTCTTCTTCTTCATCCTTTGGAAAAAAAATAAAACAAAACCCCATATGTTTAATATACCACATGTATTATTTATTTATCCTTCACTTTCACACAAGTAGGTTTTCTAAAGTTCAATTTTTACCAGCATCATGCTCAGGAAACCCATCCTAAAACTGTTTATTGAGATGGTCTAAAATAGGTCTTTACTTTCCCATGTTTTCAGCAGCGCAAAAAAGCAAATGAAGGATGCACTGGACTTGACTCAATGATGGAGCAGGACATAATCTGTTCCAAAAACCCTGTGCTTATAATACCATAAGCAAATACATAGCTAGCAGGCTTTTATTGTATGTAACCCGGAGAACTAGAAACCCGGAAAAATCTGTGGATTTATGATAGAGGAGTATTATTTACATCTTCCTCATTTTTTCTCCTTTAATTTTGAAAATTGCAACCAGTTCTATTTAACTGCCAGACAGCAGCTCCATGCAGCCAGCTGCTGAAGCAGGTTCCCATTTCAGTGCCAGCACGGGACTGGCACAGGAAAGCAGAGGTGGATATCAGGAATTCCCCTCACTGCAAAGACAAAGCATTGGCCTCATGCACAAGTTTCCTCCTCCTCCATCTGTCTCTGTGGAGGAAGAGCAAGTGCATCAGAAAGAACAGGCCAGGAGCCTGGACAGTAAACAGGATGCTGGGACACAAAGGCGGAGGAAGGATTTCCCACAGCTCCCCCTGCTTCAGCCAGATGCCAAAAAGAGAGCAGCTCAGGTGAAGGGACGTCATCCCTTTAAAGAGATAGAACAGGTAACACTATGAAACTCCTCCTTAAAAACACCCACAATCTGTTTCTGACGTGACAGTAGGACATGTTGCATGGAAGGATCCACACGCTTTGAGGTGGTGTCTGAGCAGGCAGCCAGCAGATACAGAAGAAGGAGCAGACACCATCCCACCCCCAGCTCTCCCTTCCCATACCAAAGACAGTAGAAGTCTTCTTCAAGCACCTATCGAGGCAACAAATGAAAAGGCAGATGGATACCCCTTTAGGCACAATCTTTATTTGCTCCACAATTTTCTATCCTTAGATACCCAGGTAGAAGATGTCTACCCTAAGTTAATTCCAGGAAGAACCCAAAACTTCTGTTCCTTAGGGCTGCTGGCTGATGGGAATGGTAGTACATATTTTGATTATCCTGTGATGTCAAAGCTGATTGCATAATAAAATTTTAAGCCTTAAACTTCCTTGCAATTTGTACCATGCTAGCAATCAAATATCCTATTCATGACATATACAGATGTTAATACTAACTACATGTTAACTGTTTATACACACTGGTACGCACAGCTTGAGTAAAAGAAGCCTCTCCATGCTACAAAGCAAGCAATTATTTCAAATATTCTGATAGTGGGATGCAACGCTTAGTCGTAAACTATTATGACAGAATTCCCAAAATGCACCAGGGATAAACTATTCTTATATCTTCTCATGATGCATCTTTGAAGTAAAATACTGTGTATTTCTGGAACACTGAACAAAATAGTAAAAGAGTCTTGTAAATCAAAGTTCCCAGTGAACAGCAGCCCTGGGAGAAAGCGTTGTCAGAACAGCTTTTTGAGCCAAAAGCTAACTTGGTGTTTCCTTAGCTGCTTCTGTTGTCCTTGCTGTTGCAAAATTTTTTATTTATTTAGACCATATGCAAAAAGAAAAAGAAAGAGAAGAAGAATATATGCTTATTATACTAGGAACTACTATGCTGAACCTGAGAATTGTGTATTTAGGGAAAAAACTGTGATAGCTTTGTTAAACTTAACGGTTTGGGACTTAATTGCTGATAGGTTAATATGTACAATTGGAAAAATCTGCTATTTTGAACGGACTTTTTAGATAAAAATTATTTCCTACCCTCAGCACATGAACACAATAGCTTTTACAATACAATAGGCAAGATGTCCTAAAGGTTGTCCATGTTTATCTAACATGGACATTGTAACAGCAGCCAAAATGATAATACTTAGACAGGATCTATTTCTGAAAAGTAAAATAATCAAAATCCCACCAAAAAACCCAACAAACCAACCAAACAAACAAAAAACCCCACCAAAAACACTGAGGAACAAACAACAAAAAAGGCACACACAGACCCAGCAGACTGCAAGCAGTTACTGCTCTTTCAGCTTTTCACTGAGGCTGTGTCACAGCACCTGCTCAATGGCCTCCAGCAACCCCAAGCATCAACCTTAACTAAGGCTAATAATGGTCCTACACTTCTATTTCAGCCACTTTGGAGCATTTGTCCACAACACAAATAGCATCTCACCTACAGATCAAGCCAGTCCAAAATCTAGTCTACAAAAATAAATGGATTTGGTAATTCTTGCCAGACTCTGGAGGACTCCACTTACTTAGTGCAGATCGATAACTCCCTGGCAATGAGTCCTGAAGACTTTGTGGCGACAGGAACTATCATGAGGATTAATCAGCACAGAGAAGGCTGCAGCACCACTGCAGTACAGCAACTGATGGAAGATTTTTAAAAAAACCCCGAAATTTTTAAAAAAAAAGGTTGGCCAGACCAAAGGTGTTCTGTTCCGGATTCAGAAGCGGTTTTTTTTTCCCAGGGTGCAGCTCATTTCATTCCAATGTGGACATCTGAAAGAGGTCAAACAATGTGTGCCCTACTGGTGTTTACTTCTCCCTGTTAACTACATAAGGAGAGTGAGGTCATTAGCAAAGAGGCAGACACCACTCTTGCAGACATCTTGCACCAGGGTGACATGAATCCCACCCAAAAATCTCACTGGATAAGATCATTTGCACACAGGTCTCCCTATGGACACACATGCCTCAAGGAGGGTAAGCTGCAACCTGCAGAAGGGATCCTCCTGCACAGAGCGAGGTGTTTTGGCAGCCGTCCTGGGATCTGGACATGTGAGCCAGCCTCAGAAAGCGAAAGTCCCTCACCTCCTCCCGACAACACATGCACTGCACCACTAACAGTCCCTTCATTTACAGAGGCACTGTATCACAAAAGGAGAAAATTAAAATTGGTTGAGGCAAGAGACTGTCATTCTCATGAAGTAATACAAAAGTACATCCTTTTTTCTTGGAGAAAAGAGGCAGCTGGTGAGTCCTTCCTAGTGATTTTATGCAGCTGGCATTAATTACCACTTTAAGCCATTATCTGTGGATACAAACTCCCATTGAAACCTTCTTTGTCTCCCCTGTGATTGGGCTGGTGTAAGTGTTTTATACTTCTACATTTGCTGGCTGTTTGTGACAGCACGTCTGACTACCAGTAATTTTTGCAGTAAGCTATACTTTCACAAGACTCACGTGGTCAGATCAAGCTTGGAGCAGCTTTCCTCTCCCTTTCCATGTGTTTCCCTTCAGAGATTAAATGGACATGTCAGCATTCCTAGGGATTTCTAACTGCAATGCTCTTTGATCAAAATAATTTTGCCTGTAAGATTAAAACCCACATATGATGCCCGCACAGAAATCCAGCTATGTACACTAAGATATTTCTAATCATTTGAACTAGCACAGCAAAAATAAAATCAGTCATGTTACCCCTCAGCATGCCACCCAGCGGCACCTGATCAGCTTGCTTACGGCTGTAGCACAAAATCTCAACACTACTTATCCTTCCATTCATCATTGCACACTAAATATCAGTACAGGTTTTTCTGCACGCAGATGGCAAATCAATGACTTCTTATTTTCATTACATCAACATTTACAAAACTGTGATGATTTAAGTAGCTAATGTTTTAAGTATCTGACCATGGTTGCCATTGAAGTAACTCCCAGTCAAATAAAAGCTACTAGAGTAGATCCATATATGGAAGATTAACCTGGGCAGCTCGATTATTCCATTTCATCATGTTTTCCAAAGGTAACACCCCACTCTCCACATCATTATTGGAAGAAAATTCTGTTTATTTACACAAATTTTTAGAAGATGAGGAATGCAGAAACACTTTGCTGGACATTCGCTACACTTCGCTGTGTAGGAATGGAAAAGAAGATAATTAAGCTCTAGAAGTATCAGAAGCAGGGAGGACATAACCAAAGGAAAAGAAAAATCACGTCACGTCTGTTGTGTTTCTATATACTTCTCTAAACATCATTTGCCTAGATGCCTCAGGAGACTAAGCACAACAGTTCTGACATGTTCCAGCATTAAAACTGCTATGAGACCCCTACGAGAATCTGTCTCTGAGAAACACACTTCAGGAAGGAAGGGGGAAATACAAACTCTATAGCACAATGAAATTATTTCAGGAGCTGAATTTTAAAATTAAAAAAAATACAAGCCACCTAAACATAGAGAAAAGAAATGTCCTAGGGCATGTAAGTGGTGACTTTCCATTCAAACTCCCCCAGGTGGAAGAGCTGTCTGACCACTGCTCTTTGCCAGTTGTTGATTCTGCCCTCTTAAGGGATTGGCACTGCTCAAGGAAAAGAAACTCAGGACAATTTCAGAAGATTTTATTTACCCTAGTAATATGATGAGGATAAATGCAAATGAGAAAACACAGTCCAGCAAGGATAAAGCAAGATAATGTTCTGTGATAAAGGCAAGAGCAAATATACCTACCCCGCTAGATGATTTATATGCTGCTCTAAATCAGTATGAAGTGGAATACAAATTGGTCCCTTCAGTAACTTTGCTTTTTGATTTAAGAAATGAGACAGTGACAAATCTCAGCTCTCCCCGCACAAATGGCACCCAGTCATTTTAAGCCACAACCAGGGATTTTAAGAATAAATATCACAACCAAACAGTGGAAAGCCAAACACACCAGCAAAGGTGTTTTTGTTTGCTTTCCCAATGCTGTTCACAAAGCTCTGCATGCCTATACCCTGGAAGCTGCCCTCCCTGGAGGGGAGCTGGCAATGCTCTGCCTGGAGTTTCAGAGTAAGCTGAGCTGTGGAGGATCATGAGCTCCGATGGTAACTTGTGGAATTTGGGAATCTTTAGATCACAGGAGAGTTGGGATCTGTGTAGAGTGGCAGGCAGCAGCCTCA